CCGTGATGTTACACCCACTGCAACAGCTTGTATAGGTATAAGGAGAGGAACAGGACTGTGAATGATGCCCTGCCTCACCATAACAGAAGAGGAGAAAAGCAATGTACAAAAGTATCCACACCAAAGAGATCACTTCCACATTCCAATGGTCAACTTGTCCAGCAAAATTGCACAGCTCCAGCCAATTGAGTCAGCATTCTACAACATTTGCGGTACAATCGAGCATGCCCTTTCTACGAAGATTTCAACGTTCCTCAAAAGTTGTGTGACCAGAGTTAAACATTCAAAGTTTTTTTAAGCTATCAAACTATAATGGATATCCTATCGTTAAAATGGGTATAACAGTGGAGGATTGCGGGTTGGAGGATGCGGGATGGTACTTTTTGCGAGCTGAGAGGAACCCGTCAAGTCGGCCATATGCAGCCATCTACCGTGTACTTGAAGTGATGTCATGGGACAGTGTTCGCTATCGGCTCTTCGTCACAGGCATGGTCCTCTGTAGCATCATGTCTGTAAGTAAACCTATATATCAATTATCTGAGGAACTATTACTTTGCTGGGATATTGAGAGTAACCCAGGCCCATTTTGCTCTGAATGCACCGAATTGACGTCAGTTTAATCGGAGATTTTAGACGAACTTCGTTCAGTTAAGTGTGATCTTTCGAAAGACATTAAAGACATAGAACTTGACACTCAACAGTTGAACAAGTGTATCAATGAACTGAAAACTTATATTGATCTATTGAAATGAACAGGAATCTTTGAGACTGGACATTGATGCATTTTATGAAAGGCAAAATTAACCAGAAGATGAACGTGAAGATACTGATGACTCAGGTGGCCTGGCAATTCTCAGAGACAAGGTAAATATGCTCCAAGATTCGTGTAATTGTCGATTCCTATCAAGTTCCATCAATAAGTACATCAAAAGATATAGTTGGGATCTCTTAGAAGGAATCCTCTACTTCACAGTATCCTATGAGAATAAAATAGGTGTGTGGACATGGCAACCACATCAGTCATCGATCTCAGCCTGTTACCTATAACACTGTTAGCTTCATATTTTTGAAGGTCTCTGAAATTCAAAGTAAACTGCGAGACCTTGATTTTCTGTTCTTTGTCGAAAACATTGACTTCATAGGATTGACGGAAACATGGTTATCATTTGTAACACAGTATTTTCCAGATTTCATCCAGTTTGATTTGGGTGGTTCGCGAACTGCTAGCTCTTGGAGGTTGGCTGGCGGTATAACTGTATTGTTGAACACTGTTTGGTGGACTTGTACATGAAGAAATCATTCATCAAGCAAAATGTTGTGTTTAATTTGCTTGGTAAACGTCTTTTTGGTCTTGAGTGAGTGCGTGAGTTGGGTTTAACGCCGCTTTTAACACTATTCCAGTTATATCACGGCGTGTCAGCTTAATGTGGGAGGAAAGCCTGAAGTGAATGCAGGTCTAAGACGTTTACCACTTCGGTGAAACCCACGAGCACGGGTATGGTGCTGACAAACCTAGAAACATAATCGGGGCGAACCGAGATTCGAACCCAAAATTATAGGTTTCTAGGGTGCCCAAGGGACGCAACTCTACACAGCGAATCGCAACGACATAGACGACTGGGCCACCCGTGTCTCCTCCTTTTGCAATAAGGAAAACACATGTATGCGGGCACTTTTACTACCGTGTGGTAGACTTTAACTTTATATAACTCCGAGTCATCTCAGCATAGCATAAACACTGAGAGAAGCGTCAGAGCAATCATTAAGCTTACAAACAGCATACAGCAAACATCTATGAAAAAACTACGCGGAGATTTTGAGTGCGCATCATAAAGTTTACACGTGGTTTCTGATGCTACATTATTCTAGACTTTTCACAAACTGAATAAACAAAAAAATTGAACATGGATTAAATCCAAAGTATATCTAAAGGTTTGTGAAGTATATAATTAATAAACTTACACTATGGATCGCTGAAGTTTGACCTGATATAGCATGCAATGCTGAAAACCAATGTGGAACGCACGGAACCAATGTCGCTGTTAATACCGACAACCGTTCTAAACTAGCACTTCCAGTCCTAAACTAACCAATAAATAAGTATGACTGTTATTTGTAACTGCACATAGTGTTTACTTATGTTGTGAATTTCAGCCGATGGCCTACATTCTAACGGAATAAACAACATCTACCTGGCGACACATATTTGTTTGACAAATCGACCGTGATTTGAATCCTTTGCAACACGTTCCAGAAATAAAGCAAATCTTCGCTTCATGTGATTTAGGAATTGGTAGCTCTTTGGTGATTGAATACTGTGAAGTTGCCAGGAACCAAAATCACTCTCGTCTTCAAGAAGCAAACTACAGGAAGTCCTCTTGGACCTCTTAAGTTTCTCCGGGGGAATCTGCAACGATTAGCAGTTGATAATTATGACTAGATGAGTTCCATGACAGTTTTCAGTGTATTCATTCTTGTCATAGGATACTGATTTGTTTGACTGGCTAGTTTAAGATTGATCTAATGTTTTACTGCACAAGCAATACTGAAGAGCATATGCTAAGAATTTACTTCTTATAGTAAAAGTTACAAAATGACAACTGACACATAACTGACCATGTTTCAACGCGGTATTGTTATCAAAAACCGCTTCAGTCGGTAGACTTTTAAGTGGTTGGGTAAAGCACGAATTCCATGAGATTCCTTTCCAAAAGCACATCCTGCTCGCGGTCTTCGATATGCAAACAGTGGTGATAATAAACTACACGACACCCTTCATGAATTTTGACATTTTATACATTTACACAAAGTTAACATGTAGACAGAAATATTACAGTTGCTCTGATTCAGAAGGTATTGAATCAGGATTAAGAACATAACATCCTGGATGGACCAGGTGGACTTAAGCTACTGTGTCCTGAGGGTAGTGGGTCGAACAGCCATACCATTGGTAGAAATTTGACACGAACCCAATTAACAATAATCAGTACAAATGAATGAAACATATGAAATATCTGAGAAACAAAACAACCGTGTCGTTTGAAGTAGTGCAATTCACCGTGGAGAGTTAAGCCCCATGGCGGTTACTGTTTGTGGGCTCCAAGGTGTAGCTTGATCATGATCTTTATTGCTTTGGTGACACTTGGTTATAAACCAAAACTGGTTAAGAGTCAACTCCTAACATGCCCTGCATATGTAATGAGGAGCACGAGACTATAATGTTATCAGACAATTGCCAGAAGTATGCTATAACAAAATATCCAAAAAGGGTCGTGTGGAGTAAAACCACAAACATGCACATTTCTCGTTCAAAGCTACACCCATTACTAACTACCTCTGTTTTTCGAAGGCATAAGAGGCGGTCCGGTAGCCTAGGGTTTAAAGCATTCGCCCGTCACGCCGAAGACCCGGGTTCGATTCCCGACATAGGTACAATGTGTCAAGCCCATTTCTGGTGTACCCCCGACGTCATATTGCTGGAATAAAAGCGACGTAAAACCTCACTCACTCACTCACTCAGTCACTCACTCACTCACTCGAGGGCATAACAACTGTGTGCAACATTTACGTCTGATATACGAGGGTCGATTTCTTATTTCTGAAAGACAGAATCCGCTTTCACATTCTTACACTTTTGCCAAAGATGGTTCGTAGAAGTCTTTCAGCTTCTGGGACCTGAAGAAAGTGATGACGTATATCTCTTGGCTGTCGAAATAATTCTCCACAACTTCTATGAACTCATCAGATCAGCATTATAAGGTGTGTGCTGAAGGAGTTGAAACCTGCACTCGTAGAGTTGTCATTGTAGCCAATGTAGCCAATGACTGATTTGTGCATTTTCCTGATGGATGGGCTCATTTCTTTTCTCAGCTCCCCACGTCTGTAAGTCATAATATCATTCCGTATTTAGGCTGAAATATTGCCGATGTGACGTAAAGCATTAACTCACTCACTCACTCATTCCGTATTTAACCAATAAGTCCTGCATAATTTGCTCTGTGTACTGTCTGGCTTAACAAGATTGGGTGTTCAGGATCAATGGCTTAGCTAATTATGTCATTAGCTCACCCGATCCGTCATCCATACGTCAACAATGTATTCACACGACTTCTTCTTCTGAACCACTAATAGGAAATTAACGAAATTTGACTGGAAGCATCCCCAGGTGGTGGGAATTCAAACTTGTACAAATGATGGGGCTGAAGCATTCTCCTACGGTGAAGATTCAAAATCGTACAAATGGTGGGGGTAGCCCCCAAGGGGCTGAGGGGCGGGGTCAACTAGGGGTAACTTGGCATTATTGCTTTAAGCGACTTCATCTCTGGAACTAAGAAATAGATATCAACCCTATTTGGTTGGAAGCATTTTCTGGTGGGGAGGATTCAAAATTGTACACATGGTGGGGCTGAACCCACAAAGAGCCTGAGGGGCGGGGCTAAATAGGGGTAATTTGGCTAAATTGCTGTGGCGGGGCTCAAATGAGTTTATAACTTGGAGACAGTTTAGATCGCCGTATAATCATATGTACAATTAAGAGTATAATGAGAAGAATGCACGTATTATATACACGTACAATGCAAAAGTATACTTTGTCATGATTGCGTACATATCAAGGTGAGCGATACAGGCCCTATGGGCCTCTTGTTATTGACATGTCATTATGCCTCACTGTCACAGGTCATTCAATTCACTGGTTCACCTTACCAGATTCCATGACATACACCAGTCAGCTGAAATATACATTCTCCATGCACTCTAAGTTTAACTTGAATTAGGAATGCCTAAAAAGTTCCTATTAACGTTCGGACTCTCCAAAACCAATACAAACACAACATATTATTGACTAGAAGCAAAGAGGTAAAAAATCATTGAACGTCACAAGACTAGTCAACAAACATGCCATTTGTCACAGGGTGATGAATTACTAAAGGAATCGACACATCACATTACATCACTACAAATCCCACATTTATAATGCAAATGACATAACGTTAAGGGCCTTATACACAAAACACCAGCAGGGACATCAGTGCCAGAAACAGGAACACCCCAAAGAATACGTGGTCTGCACGGCGGGCCTTTGACGCACACACCACATGCAGGCGTGCTGTGCTGTTGTTGTTTAACTTAGCGTTCGCTGGCTGAGCATCTGTCTTCGTCTGAAATAAGAACTCGTTATTGCGGACGTTGAGTGTGGCCATGGTGGTGATGATAGCCAGGCAGCTCTGACAGAGGATGAGGGTCAGGTACACAGACAGTCGACACACGTCTCCAGACTTGGGGATCGAGTCATTGACGAAGTTCATGAACACTGCATAGGACACAAATATTGAGATGAGGTAGGACATCTTCTCTCCCGAATCAGCTGGTAGGAGGAACACGCAGGCGTTGAGCAGAGAGAGAAGAGCCATAGGAAAGATGATACTCACTACATAGAACATGCTCTTGCGTTTGAGTAGAAAATCAAACGACGCAACACTTGATATATGTTCCATTTGGACGTCTACAACATTGGCAAGTACGTCAACTAAATCCCACTCACTGTTCTCAATGAAGAAGGTCGGAAGGAACTCTATAAAAGAACCAGTCTTTTGTATTCCAAACTTGTAACTATTGACAGGCGTGAATAGGATACTACATCGCTGCTGATCAAACGGGTACAGAGTGATGTCTATTTGACAACTGGTCTTGAAACTTTCAAGGAATAGAAGTCTTGCTTCTCCTGTACTCTGAATTCCCGGTGATTGTACTGAAGTCGGTACAACGTTGTCAATACCGTTAGGGATGATCACGGAAGGTGTCCACACGTAGGCTGCAGAGATGGTCACGTTTTCAATATCATCATACACAGTTTTGTTCCAAGCTAGATTGTTGTCGAACCATTTCATCGAGACACCGGCACTGAAAGTGAATGTCTGCTCGGCAGCATTGAGATTGGAGATGGACATTGGCAACATACTTATGTTAACCTGTTTGTCTTCATAGAGGTCTATACTAATGCCATCATTAGCAGTTTCCCCTTGGAGATATGTCTTTAGTCTCCTTAATGTCGACTGGTCTCTAGTGGGGAAGGTAGCCCCTGGTAAACTGCAGAGTAGTACAAGCCTTATCGCCGACATGAAAAACATGATTTCAGTGTTCAGAGGTGGTATTCGGATTGACATTAATTGAAATGCAGGTGTTATTCCTTTTCAGATGTTGCTTAGGTTACTCCAGTGATTGTACACTACCCCAAAAGCTGGAATATTAGTGCAAACGGATCTATTAAACGGGTAACTAAACGTCAGGAGCTTTGAACACATTCGTTAGTGGGAAGTAACAGCTTTAGCCTGTGATGCCTGTGGCTAATTGGATATTAATACCTGCAACGTACCGCAGGGGGCTATTTATTTTGAATCATGCAGTTTGTACTGGTAATGGAATTGATAATGTCAACAGAGTAAGAATGGAAACAATTACACTGTACTGATTCATTCAGCATTTGTAAAGCATCGTTATTGGACGCTTTGCTCTCAAGTAAAATGTATTTTTTGCATCAGCACTGCAGCAGCAGTGAGTGAGTGAGTTGGGTTTAACGCCGCTTTTAACAGTATTCCAGTTATATCGCAGCGTGTCAGCTTAATCTGGGAGGAAAGCCCGAAGTGATGCAGGTCTCAGACGTTCACCACTTCGGTGAAACCCACGAGCACGTGTATGGTGCTGACAAACCTAGAAACATAATCGGGCCGAACCCGGATTCGAACCCACAATCCGATTATGTTTCTAGGTTTGTCAGCATCATACCCGTGCTCGTGGGTTTCACCGAAGTATACGTCTGAGACCTGCACCACTTCGGGTTTTTCTCCCACAATAAGCTGACACGCCGTGATATAACTGGAATACTGTTAAAAAGCGGCGTTAAACCCAACTCACTCACCCACTCACTATTTCAGTAAGGATCCTGATATTTTATTCATTTTTAATACTTACAAAGTGGGTTAACTATCGTATTTTGTCCGCGATTATGACTGTCTGAATGAAAAATGACTACAACTACCAAAACTACGGAACAGATTTTGGGCCCGGAATTGTTTTCTCAATCAGAACACCAACTTCCAACATTTGAAGCAATGTCGAAAGATTTTCAAGAACTGAAAATATTGAAAGGAGAATATTGAGTTTTAAAGACCGAACAGTACATGCTTTTCATGCAGTCTTGAGATCCTCCGAATGACCTGCAGGATCGATCGGAAATAAGAGAGTGATCTTACATATACATTTAGAAACGTGCTCGTGGGTTTCGTTAGAAACGAAATACTTCTTTTAAATGACAGAAGGCATGTGGAGGCATACGATAAAGGCAAAATCTATTCTTCTCGTGCTGAACACAATAAATTAATGTCCTCCATTTCGTTTGTATTTTAAAATGATTTTGAAAATATTTGCACTGATCACTTTCTTAAAGACAGTAATATATTTCAAAATACATTTACCTTTAATGTTATGATTATCACATTAAAACAGGCTGCCATAATAGTACTTCTTATCACACGTGTACATAATCGGATCCATATATTTTAGACCCGTGATGATCCGGGGTAGAATATGTCTTCAGCAACCCATGCTTGCCGCAAAAGGTGACTATATATGTCGTAAAAGGCGACTAACGGGATCAGGTGGCCAGGCTCGCAGACTTGACTGATGCATGTCATTATTTCCCAATTGCGTGGATCGATGCTCATAATATTAATCACTGGATTGTGTGGTGCTGACCCGTTTATTTACAGACCGCCGTCATATAGCTGGAATATTGCTGAGTGCGGCGTTAAACAACAAACAAACAAACAAACGATGCTCATAATATTAATCACTGGATTGTGTGGTCCTGACTCGTTTATTTACAGACCGCCGTCATATAGCGGGAATATTGCTTACAAAACAAACAAAAACATCCGTCAGCTACAAAACAGGACACTCATTGCATCATACATTGGTGTTTTATGTCCAGCATCTGCACCACGTTATTGACATCAGAGGATCTGGTGGTGTATCATTAGTGGCTTCCCTACGGTCGGAGTAGCATTTGCTTTAGTGACTAATCACTTGCTCGTTTTCAAAGAAGAGATGGACCTTTCTGTGTGTATCGTCGACGGAATTATTGTACATTGGATGTTGCGTACAGGAAGTCGACAGATTCGGTGAAGTGTGAATAAGTTGGCAGCCATCTGTATTCGGCGATGAACATATCGTGTTCATATCCAGGGCAACTTATAATAAATTCGGGGGCGGTCGGGTAGCCCAGTCGTTTAAGCGTTCGCTCTTCACGCCGAAGACCCGGGTTCGATTCCCGACATGGGTACAATGTGTGAAACCCATTTCTAGTGTCCCCCGCCGTGATATTACTAGAATATTTCTAAAAGCGGCGTAAAAACGTTCTCACTCATTCACTATAAATAAATTAGAAGAGGTTCCATTGCATTTGATTCGTTAACAGAGCACTATGTTTGAGTTTAAGTTTCAGTAAACCGATAAGAAATTACGCCATGTCCACTAACCCTCTGGCTGATAATAGAATAGGAAGGGTCTGTGTGGCATTACTGCGTTGAACGATGTCACTGTTTTCGTATTGATTTGTGTGTGTTAATGAATACCTTATCAGTCCATGAACTCATAATTGTTGGCTATCTATTTATAAGAATTGATTCCGCCACACGGTATGCACATACATTTTTTAGGTTTATTCCTACAAAAACGAACAATAAATTGAAGTCAAATCTTAAATAACAGTCTTCTGATTCCATTAAAGCTCATGGGATGGAGGCACGTTGATTTGTTGTTGATTTTGTGCTCGTGAGCGAGAGAAATTTCGTATTAGGTTAATGATAAGAGAGCCGCTGGTGGTAGTTATATATATATATTAATCATGCACTGGATAATGGAGGATAGCCCAAATATGATTGCCAGATGTTCCTGATGATTTCATGGATATTTGTATTTGTACTATCCGATACGACTCACAAACTGTGAGTTTCACATATTTCTCACCAGATTTTGGAACTCAATTGACAACGCCAGTTTACTGCGTTGGTCACCAGATTAACATTCGGAATAAAACAGTTCTTGTGTTTCATCATCATAATCGATACGTCCTTTGTCAACATAAATCTGTTTTCGTTCATTATCTCTATCAAAGCTTATATTGACATTCCTCTTACGTCCTGCCAGTGCACAAGACGTATCACGTGTCAGGCGTTCAAGGCTTCACCCCCTTGCGTCATTGTCTGGGACTCTGTTGACATGCTATTTGAATCCAAAGTACCTGGCAACAACGGGATGACTAGAGCAGGACTCAGTGAACGAGTGTGGGGGTGTGAAAAAAGTAAATGAGAGATTCCGATGGAGAACTATCGAGCTTTGGGATAATGATGAAGGAAATGTGTGGGAGCGGGTGATGATGTCGACAGCCTATTATTTTCAAACACTGCTTCAAACGAAATGTAGAGCAGATTTTGAAAAACACGTTTTCTTTTTAAATTTCAAGACATCCAACGTGTCCAGCGACGTCATTGACAGCTTGTTCTGCAAGTGATGATAGAGATAGATAGATGGATCTGTCGCTCTATTAACTCTAACCCTTCAAACATAAAATCTACATCTACAGCCAAACCAAACGCCGTAAACTGCCCGACGGCTATACACTATATATACCACAACCCTACAGCTGTACACCTTATATACCACAACCCAACAACTGTAATCTCATATACAACAACCCTATTGCTATATACCTATTATAACACAGCCGTTTGGCTTTTTAATCCTATTTACCAAAACCCAGAGAATTAACCAGCTGAATTACTTGCATACCTCAACCCTACAGCTATAGGCCTCATATACCACAGCCCGACAGCCATGCATCACCGACACCATATCTGCCACAATCGTTCATTTATACACCATATCTAACACAATCGTACAGCTATATACCTTATATACCACACACCTACATCTATACACCATATCTAACACGATTGTACATCTATACACCATATCTATCACAATCGTACAGCTCAAACCTTATATACCACAAACCTACATCTATACACCATATCTAACACAATCGTACATCTATATACCATATCTATCACAATCGTACAGCTATGTACCTTATATACCACAAACCTAAATCTGTATACCATATCTTCCACAATCGTACATCTATACACCATATCTATCACAATCGTACAGCTATGTACCTTATATACCACAAACCTACATCTATACACCATATCTAACACAATTGTACATCTATACACCATATCTATCACAATCGTACAGCTCAAACCTTATATACCACAAACCTACATCTATACACCATATCTAACACATTCGTACATATATACACCATATCTATCACAATCGTACAGCAATATACCTTATATACCACACACCTACAATTATACACCATATCTAACACAATCGTACATCTATACACCATATCTATCACAATCGTACAGCTATATACCTTATATACCACACACCTACATCTATACACCATATCTAACACAATCGTACATCTATACACCATATCTATCACAATCGTACAGCAATATACCTTATATACCACACACCTACATCTATACACCATATCTAACACAATCGTACATCTATACACCATATCTATCACAATCGTACAGCTCAAACCTTATATACCACAAACCTACATCTATACACCATATCTAACACATTCGTACATATATACACCATATCTATCACAATCGTACAGCAATATACCTTATATACCACACACCTACATCTATACACCATATCTAACACAATCGTACATCTATACACCATATCTATCACAATCGTACAGCTATATACCTTATATACCACACACCTACATCTATACACCATATCTAACACAATCGTACATCTATACACCATATCTATCACAATCGTACAGCAATATACCTTATATACCACACACCTACATCTATACACCATATCTAACACAATTGTACATCTATACACCATATCTAACACAATTGTACATCTATACACCATATCTAACACAATCGTACATATATACACCATATCTATCACAATCGTACAGCTATATACCTTATATACCACACACCTACATCTATACACCATATCTAACACAATCGTACATCTATACACCATATCTATCACAATCGTACAGCTATATACCTTATATACCACACACCTACATCTATACACCATATCTAACACAATCGTACATCTATACACCATATCTATCACAATCGTACAGCAATATACCTTATATACCACAAACCTACATCTATACACCATATCTAACACAATTGTACATCTATACACCATATCTAACACAATTGTACATCTATACACCATAGCTATCACAATCGTACAGCAATATACCTTATATACCACACACCTACATCTATACACCATATCTAACACGATCGTACATCTATACACCATATCTAACACAATTGTACATCTATACACCATAGCTATCACAATCGTACAGCAATATACCTTATATACCACACACCTACATCTATACACCATATCTAACACAATCGTACATATATACACCATATCTATCACAATCGTACAGCTATGTACCTTATATACCACAAACCTAAATCTGTATACCATATCTTCCACATTCGTACATCTATACACCATATCTATCACAATCGTACAGCTATGTACCTTATATACCACAAACCTACATCTATACACCATATCTAACATAATCGTACATCTATACACCATATCTAACACAATCGTACAGCTATATACCTTATATACCACAAACCTATATCGGTACACCATATCTATCACAATCGTACAGCTATATGCCTTACAAACCACAAACCTACATCGGTACACCATATCCACCACAATCGTACATATATAAATATATCTCCCACAATCGTACATCTATACACCATATCAACCGCAATCGTACATCTATACACTATATCTCCCACAATCGTACATCTATACACCATATCAACCGCAATCGTACATCTATACACATATCAACCACAATCGTACACCTTACACCATATCTACCACAAACCTACATCTATACACATATCTACCACAATCGTACATCTATACACATATCAACCGCAATCGTACATCTATACACCATTTCTACCACAAACCTACATCTATACACTATATCTACCACAATCGTACATCTATACACCATATCTCCCACAATCGTACATCTATACACCATATCTCCCACAATCGTACATCTATACACCATATCAACATCTTCAGCTTAAGATCTTATATACCACAAACCTACAGATATAAACCGTGTGTATAACCCCAGTGCTATACACCTTATATACCACTACCCAACAGCGACAAATCATATACCCTACACCCATGCAGCCAGAAGTCGTTTATACCAGGGTGTCGTTGTACAAAACAACCTTAGACTGCCGAGTCCATGTAAAGATATGGGAGTTACGATCACCTTAGCGGTGAGATAGCTTTGAACAACGGCACCCTGAACCCAACAGCTAAAAATCTTATATACCACGTACACCCCACCCCACAGCTATACACCTCATATACTACAACCCTACAGCTATAAGCCCTATACATCACAAACACACAGGTATGAACCTTGTAAACCACGTCTCTACATCTTTAGAGCTTTCATACCACAAACTGACAGCTGTACGCCTTGTATACTACGAAAGCCTAATGGTGACACTTTGACAGCAGATATTGTTTCTTTGAAATCGAAATTTCTCGTTATTTCAATTACTCGTTTATCTTCTCAAAATTCCGATTTGTTGTGGTTATTTAGATTATAGTTTCGTAACTTCAAACATTTTCTTGTTACTTCGTGTTTTTGCTCGTGATTTCGATTATTAAGTTTATTCCAAGAACTAGAAATTTCGAATTTACTCTCGTTGCTTCGGTTATTTTCTCCTTGTTTCAATTATTTTCCATTTGCTTTGTTTTTTTTCTATTTCTGAAAAAAAATTTGCCCCCAAACTGGCAGCATTAGGGTTGTTAGATTTCGCAAACCCCCGGACATCTATTCCCTTTGAATTGAAAAACTGTTGAGAGTTCGACCAAATAAGGCGTCAAATCTCATATCATGTATAATTGGGTACCATTGAACAATACAACCTGAGCGCTACGACTGTCGTAGGTCTATATGTTAAGGTATGGGAGACACGATCATATCAGCGCTGAGATCGCTTTGTACAACGGCACCCCGGCCTTCGGAAAACAGTCTCCCGGAGGGGGCACGGGTGGCCCAGTCGTCTAAGGCGTCGCGATTCGCTGTGCAGAGCTGCGTCCCTTGGGCACGCCAGAAACCTATGATTGTGGGTTCGAATCCTGGTTCGCCCCAATTATGTTTCTAGGTTTGTCAGCACCATATCCGTGCTCGTGGGTTTCACCGAAGTGGTAAACGTCTGAGACCTGCATCACTTCGGGCTTTCCTCCCACATTAAGCTGACACGCCGTGATATGACTGGAATACAGTTAAAAGCGGCGTTAAACCCAACTCACTCACTCACACTCAGTCTCCCGGAACAGTATACGCAAGGGCATAGTCCTGCACCATGACTGTGGAATATATTTATGTTATGAAAAAAACATAATCTAGAAATGCATACAAAAGCAAGTCTAGCCAGCTCAAGCTAGCTCTATTCCACAGTCATGTCATTTTGGGGAGAGGACCGTTCGAAATAGCGAACGGTAATTAAGTCCCTTCCTTATCATATCAGAGAATCTTGTTCAGATCACAGCCTAGCACTGGTAGTGCTCCCATCTAGGTTTACTGTAACAAAATACAGCTGGGGGAGAGGCGTAAATGGGGGGGGTTGGTGGTTACTGAGGGGATTACCAGGGTGACCTGGGATGGCTGACACACTGCCGAACTGAACAAAGGACTGTTGTTGTGTTTTAAGTGTGGGCTGCTTTCTGTAAGCGTTTGCTGCATACCCTCTATTTGACTACAAGTATAACTGTTGGTATGGAAGGTAATGCTATTGACGAAGCTGTATCGTTTGGAAAGCAACAGTTACATATTGATCACTTCAGAAATCAGCATAGGGAATTTTATTTTTATTTTTAGAGTCAAGAAGGATATTGTGTAATATAAGATTTCAGAGACTAAATGTTAGTCTAGCAAGGGCACAGCAGGGATCCCTTTACCCTAACCCGGGGGTAGTCTATAAATAGGCCGGACAGGTTATGGTGTGCAAGCCCCCGGATGGAACGTGTACCGTTTGTATAGTTGGGACATACCCTATGGAGGTTTATACATTCAAGCGGTCGATTATTTAGACATATAATACTTATTATATTTTTTATGGACGGTATTTTAGGACAGGCGGGGGATACGAAACACAGACAATGCAGACGGGGCAAAGTACAAGTAATTGAATGACGTTCAGGGGTTACTGGTAGGGCGGTTGTCGACAATGTAGGCATGTCACGTGTTATGTGAATAGCGTTTCAGTAAGCGGTGACATACTTTCCAGCGGACGATCGACTTCGGCTTGTACACACGCAACTGGTTAGTATATGTTTACTATATTCATGTGCAATTGATGGGTAACTTAGAGGTTTAACAAGGCTAGCCATCACATGCACCTGTTGTATATCGCCGTGAGTCTTTGAGCACAGGCCCTTCGTCGTGCCTAATTATTTTTAAAAAGAAAAATCTCGCCATCTTGGTGAGTGTAGAACCGTGTAAGGTATCTATCTGGATAGCTCAAAGACACGGGCCCTTGTGTTGTTGCCTAAAGATTTGCAGTGCCGTAGCCAGCGGGGGTGGGGGGTTCAAGTTGGGGACAAGTGATACTATTATAGTTAATACATGTCATTGATCCCAATTGCGCGGATCGATGCTGATGATAAATCACTTGATTTTATGGTCCAAATTCGATTATTTACAGACCGCCGTCATATAGCTGGAATATTGTTGAGTGCGGCGTTAAACAACCAACAAACAACATCAAAAACTTCTTCATATCTGCCTTGTCAATGGTGAATATTCTATCCATTCCAATTCATGACACCTCCCAATTCTTTATTACTATGAAATAATACAGACCGATTGGTCCATATTTTGTAGCTGTGGGGAGAATACACTCGAACCGCAGGAACAGTAAACAGACAGAGAGCTTTCCAACACACACCCATTCTGTGCGCGTCTGATGTCTGCCATGTGTTTCCCATTTTGTGCCCAGTTGGCTTAAAAGTGGCGAGCCGGCGGCTTTCGGTTTGTATTATTTCATAGCAGTAAATAATTGGGGGTGTATTGGACTTTGTAGTGGAAGAATCACAAATTGAGAGCATTAGCACCCTAGACAAGGTATTGATGAAGTTTTTGTGCATGATTTGCCTTTTTACTTAAGAGTGAGTGAGTGAGTACGGTTTAACGCCGCCTTTAACATTATTCAAGTTATATCACGGCGTGTCAGCCTAATGTGGGAGGAAATCCCGACGTGATGCAGGTCTAAGACGTTTACCACTTCGGTGAAACCCACGAGCACGGGTATAGTGCTGACAAACCTAGAAACATAATTGGGGCGAACCGGGATTCGAACCCACAATCACAGGTTCCTGGCGTGCCCAAGGGACGCAACTCTGCACAGTGAATCGCGGCGCCTTAGACGACGGAGCCACCCGTGCCCCAAGGTATTTATGAGGTTTTTGTGCATGATTTGCAATTTTACTTTAGAAAGAGCGATTTAAGTGGAGCGGTGCTGTCTGGAGTGTCTTGCCTTGTGTAAAAATATAATAGGATAGTGCATTTCTGACACTCGTGATATTAATTGATCTATAAATATACTCAATAGCAAAAGTTCCTGTGACACCAATATTTTAGTGTATTTTTCAAACAAGGAAAATCTGGTTTTCAATATTGTAGTACGGATGGAATGGAATCAAGTCACAAAAACGCAACTGCTACTGAAAAGCATGCATTCCATGCAAAAGTTGACTTTTATGTAATCCCCATGCATATCACTACCCATAAATGGGTATAAAAACATGTCGTTAACGGGATTCCATATGCATTGTTTAGCATCGTGCTGACAACAACCACTCAGAACAAACAACATTACGCAATTATTCAACATTACAAAATTCCACGCCTGTCCGAACATGAGCGTCTGCGAGCCATTGGTATGCTTGAAGCAGGATCGAGTTAACGTGATGTTGCAAGACAAAGTAAAGTCCACAGAAAAAACATTTGGCGTTTATGGCTACCTTGGCAACAGACGAATGCAGTTAGAGACCATCCTTGGAGTGGCAGGCCACGCGTAACCAATAATCGACAAGACAACTGGATTCGAACAATACACCTACGAAATCGATTCCAGCCAGCAACAGTGACTGCAAGAAGCATTCCTGGCCTTCGACGAATATCTTCACAATCCGTACGTCGTCGCCTCAGATGTGCAGTGATTGTCGCCAGAAGACCCCCAAGACGTCCCATTTTGACAGGACACCACCGTCAAGCACGTCTACAGTGGTGCAGACAGTGTCTACGCTGGACGGCCATGCAGTTCTATTCATCGACGAGTCTCTATTCACCACAGCGATGGACGGATTCGAGAGTACCGACGGCGAGGTGAACGTTACGTCAATCATTGTGTCATGGAAGAAGATCGGTTCGGGGGCGGCAGCGTTATGGTATGGGGTGGGATTACAGCAAGACAAAGGACCCGTTTGATAGTGGTAGAGGGAAATCTCAATGGACAGCGCTACCGCGACGAGATAATCAGCCCTGTTGTTCTACCGTTTTTGCGTCGTCATGGCCAAGGCATTACTTTACAACATGACAACGCCCGGCCGCATTTTGCGCGACCTGTTCGGGATTCTCTCCAAGAAAACTACGTGAATGTCATCCCCTTGTCGACTCGCTCCCCTGATCTCTCATCAATCAAGCACACATGGGATGAGATGGGTCGGCCCCTTCGACGTCAACCACGTGTTCCACAGACACTCCAGGAACTTCGAAACATGCTCCAGCAGATATGGACAGATATCCCACAAGACTTTTTGCGACGCCTGGTCCATTCAATGAGACGAAGATGTGTTGCTTGCATCGCAACCAGAGGTACATGCACGCTATTGATTTGTAAATTGACATTTTGGCATGTTCATGTTTTGTTTATGAAATCACGCATTTTCTCAAGTCAGTATGGCAAATTAAACCATTTGAACCCTTACAGGAGTCTATTATCTGTTGCAAACCGAAATTGTTTCAGATTTGGTAAAAAACATAACTTTGCAATACATCTCATTCATTGTCACAGGAACTGTTGTTGTTCAGTTTATTTTGGCAACGACACAAGGTCTTGTGTGTTTGAGCTATCCGGATGAGTTATCTTACACGGCTCTACACTCACCAAGATGACGAGGTTTTGCTTCATGTCAATGCATCCCCCGTTTGTAACGTGGCTAAATAACTCTATTGGCGAACATTGCAAGGATCGAATTAGAATTGAGTTGTCAGGGCGTTAAATAACACAGTTCATTAACACAATTTGACAAACACATTATGTGTAACTTCAAATCTATACTTCAGACAGGTTTTATGTGAGTGAGTTGGGTTTAACGCCGCTTTTAACAGTATTCCAGTTATATTGCGGCGTGTCAGCTTAATGTTGGAGGAAAGCCCGGGTATGGTGCTGACAAACCTAGAAACATAATCGGGGCGAACCGGGATTCGAATCCACAACCATAGGTTTCTGGCGTGCCAAAGGGACGCAACTCTGCACAGCGAATCGCGGCGCCTTAGACGACTGGGCCAACCGTGCCCCCGGTTTTATGTGTAACCTTGAGACAATATGATGTATTTATTTCTTCGAAGAGCCACGTAAGATGTTTCATATTTTTCAGAATTATACTTGGGCAACGCACGCCAGCTGGGGGAATGGCAGCATTGGTTTCTTCTACTGAGATCCAGGTTGCAGTAGCAACCTTTATTGCCTCCTTCGCAACAATCAAGTTATTCAGATATCTGACAAGTAATGACAAGCCTGCCCCTGGACCATGGGGGTACCCGTTTCTAGGACACCTGCCTCTCCTGGGAAAAGAGCCTCATGTCACCTTCCAAAACCTACGAAAGAAATTTGGGGATGTTTTCCGTATTCAACTGGGTAGCTGGCCAGCCCTCGTTATCAATGGAAAGGAAGCAATTAAGGAGGCATTGGTAGATAAAGGTGACGCTTTTTCTGGACGGCCTCAGTTCTTCACAACATCCTCGGCTGTTCTCTGTGATGGGCCGAGTCTAGGCTTTGGTACATTTAACCAGGAATATATACGCCACCGAAAAATTGCTAATAAAGTCCTTGCAGCATTTGCAAATGCCAAATCCAATCCAATTGAAGAAGCCATCTACAGAGAGGTCGATACAGTAATCGACGCCTTTGCTTCCAAGAGAGGGAGAAGTTTCTGTCCACACGATGAGGTGTTTCTTGCGACGGGGTGCATCATCTTCCAGATCTGCTATGGTCGACAGGAAGACGTCAGGGATAGCAAAGACTTCACAGAATTCATCCTGCAATCTAAAGACATCACCGAGGCGGTGTCGACAGGAAATCCAATTGATGTTTTTCCCTGGCTCCGATTTGTGATTCCTTGGACACTTTCCAAATTTCGCAAATTAATCAAGCATTCCATTGATTCGCGTAGGAGAAAAGTGGAAGAACATCGGAACACCTTTGATCCCAACCACCTCCGTGACGCCACTGATGGGTTCTTAGAAATCGTCAATAGTAACGGCGAAGACGTGCAGGTGTTGGGCAGTGGCCGGATTTTTTCAACAATTGACGATTTATTTGGTGCAGGCTTTGGAACGGTAGCTAACACAATGGAATGGGCGACCTTGTACATGGCTGACAATCCAGAAGTTCAGGCGAAGGTTCAGCAGGAGATTGACGACGTTGTGGGGCAATCTCGGAGGCCAACGCTAGAAGACCGGGGAAAGATGGTGTACACTGAGGCCTGTATACAAGAAATCATGCGCATCATAGCGCTAGTCCCTCTATCCCTACCGCACTATTCAACAACTGACACCACATTTCAAGGTTACACCATCAAGAGAGACACCATCGTCTTCATCAACCTCTACTCCATGAGCCGCGACCCTGACGTGTGGGGGGACCCGGATGTTTTCCGCCCTGAACGTTTCCTTGACTCTTCCGGTCAGATCAACAAGGCTCTCCTGGGGGAGTTCCTGCCGTTTGCTACTGGTAGGCGGAAGTGCGTTGGCGAGTTCTTGGCCAGGATGGAAATATTCCTGTTCTTTACTGGACTGTTGCAGAAGTGTTCCCTCAACAGACCTCCAGACATTGCCGAATACGACTATGGGGTTGGTGTTGGGTTCGTTAGATGTCCAAAACCGTTTGACGTTCAGGTGACATTGAGATCTTAATTCGCCATAGGTGTTTTTAACGCATGACATACGCCGATAGTTGATGACACTTAAAATAGTGAATCCTTGTCATGGAAGAGCATGTTTTTTGGTATGAAGCTTTCTTACCACACAAAACATTACAATAGACAATAGGTGGTATGCATATGATTGAAAATGATAAATGTTTGTCTAAACTTCTTTGTTCTGACATGAATATGCAGTATACTACGGTTATATCGAACTTAAAGGGACTGCTTTTTTCCTTCGTTATAACCAAAACTCTTTGAAAGCATATATACAGCACAAAATCCGCTTCGTTTTATCCGTAAGTTCATTACAAGCGTTTTTGTTATAAACGTAGTTTACTGTATTTAAATTTTGACTTGCTTGCGAACTGATCAAAATATTATTTCATTTCATTGAACATTTGAGTCAGACCTTTACGAGAGATATGTTGATATATGTGTCAGCGATTTTGACAGAATCAGTACAGCCCTAAGATCGACCTATGGTTGATTCGATATATTTTCTTGTACCCCCAGGACTACAAGAGAATGATATTTCACCGCAGATATTTTAAAATTGTCAAAACACCGTTTCCATTTCATATATGTAGTGATTTGTAGCCAAGTGTTTCCGTTTCGTTAATATCATACATCATCAACAAATTGTTGAGATAGATGTTTGTCTGTATAAACAAACACATCTTCCCGAGGCAGGTGAGTTAACTGACGATAAAAGTCCAGTTTCCACCCTTGCCAAACTAGGCTGGTAACATGGAGTTACATTTTGGCTGGACTAACGAATCTTTGCATAGTCCAATCACAATCACGCAACGAAATGATTCAGTTTTCGGTCGATTGCAATATTTGCAAGCATGTGCACCGCCAACTCGTTGTCAACAGTTATTTGCCAAAACTTTTCATGTTTTTAATCAAGGTGCTCACCTGATTTGATGCACTTCGCGATGTAAGACCCGTTTTATCACAAAATAAATCTTGATTATCGATCAGATCGTCTTTACTTGGGCGCCGCCATGTTGTTTGAAGCAAATGCAAGTGATACGAGAGGTTGAATCTGATTGGTCCATAGAGGAGACATAGAAGGGACATAACTCGTAACAGCCACTGGTGGCGCTACGGTCGAGCCCAGGAATTCCAGCCTAGTTCGGCAAGGGTGGAAACTGGACTTTTAATGTTCTTGCCTCGGGAAGATGAAACAAACATGACTTCAGATCAGCTGGCATTATATTGTGCTTGATGCAGTTCACTCTAGCATTATAATCATACTCGGTTTCTAAAATTACTTCAGTAGGTGAAATTACGTCTTAGACATCGATTATTGTAAAAACGAGATCATATTATAAAGATATTATTACTCTCGTGTCTTTCCGTAAGCTACATATGATATGTCACAAACACAAAATATATAATTATGTACATGTGTATATTGCGATCGCCCATGACTGATCATGACTTCCATCAAAATATTCCTCTTAGTCTATCAACGCAAGGCACTAATAAATATTGACAAATAAGGATAAACATTGAATGAACATGTAGCTTATTAAAAGTAGCTCCTACTTGGGTACCTTATTTGCATCGCAATAAGATCGTGATAAGATTGTCCATCGGATTGATTTATCGCATCGCTAACACTGTCTATTACATCATAATCCACAGTATTCCTGTTACGTGCTTTGACTTTTCATAACTCCTCACATGTACGAACTGTAAATGTTTTTAATGTGTATTGACCTTTTGTATATTATTTGTGATAAACAGAAGTGATTATGTCTTCTTGTCATTGTTGGTATGCATACAATTAATATGAACCGTTCAATCTCTGGATGACTGGATGTAACTAACTTATCTTCTTTTTGTTTTACCCCACTGTAAGCCATATCCCAGCTATTTCAGGACTGAGTGAGTGAGTATGGTTTTACGCCGCTTTTAGCAATATTCCAGCAATATCACAGCGGGGGACACCGGAAATTGGGCTCCACCGATTGTACCCATGTGGGGAATCGAATTCGGTTCTTTGGCGTGACGAGCCGACGCTTTGCCCACTAGACTACCCTAACGCTCCCAGCTATTTCACGACTGAGTGAGTGAGTATGGTGTTACGCTGCCTTTAGCAATATTCCAGCAATATCATGACGGGGGACACTGGAAAATGGACTTCACACATTGTACCCATGTGAGGAATCTTCAGCAACCTATGCTTGCTGTAAAAGGCGACTATGCTTGTTGTAAGAGGCGAATAATGGGATCGGGTGGTCAGGTTCGCTGACTTGGTTGATGCATGTAATTGCATCCCATTTGCATGGATCAGTGCTCATAATGTCAATCACCGGATTGTCTGGTCCAGACTCGATTATTCACAGACTGTCGTCATATAGCTGGAATATTGCTGAGTGCGGCGTTAAACAACAAACAACAAACAAACAACAAACAACAAACAAACAAAGCTACAAACAACCTGACACTCCATTACTCAATGAATGCATTTATTAAAAAATACATTAGCATTTGATATTACATAATGTATGTCACATCACTTGGAGAGCAGGTTCAAGACAACCAGAGCATTTTATATTTACATATATGCATTCGAAACATGCAGTCATGACATGAAAAGGTCCTTCACGAAAATAGGCACCGGCTGTCAAGAACCATGACATTCCAAAAATATTAAAAATGAAATGTGTCTGGAAAGTATCAAATGATTTCACATAACATGGCAAATACCTTCAATACTTGCATTATAAAACCTGAAAACAATTCTGTGATACAAAATTTACTGGCAGGAAAAGTCTTTTTGTGTATTCAGCGCTAAGATTTATTTGCATCGTCAACTGATATTTTTATCTGATATTCATCAGCATATTCAGGGTTATGAACTACCGGTATACTCAAACTAGAGGAATCTGTAAGCTGAAGTGTTGTAGTTGTCTCCAAAACATGTGGTTATGCTTCATAAACAACCTGTCCAAAATAAGTTGTGGAGTTCTTTTTAACTCATGGAGACCATCCCAACAACATATTTGTTATTTAAAAATGAGACTGAGATTTTTGCCTGGAGAAAACGTAGCTAGATACAACTAACATAAAATTAGCATGGTCTTTACTTGACAAAATACTGACTGACTGAAATATTTTGACTGAAAAAATACATACAGTTACCGGTACATGAATGTCAGAAAATCAACAATACAAGATAGCATCATACAACATGGATATGAATACTTGCCGCACAGGTATCTCGTGTGAATGGCCTCATTAAATGTTCAGTGTTTATGTGAGTGATTGATGGTGTTGGGCTTACACCTCCTTACACAGTTTTTATTGATATCATGCAAAATTGTGTGGGACGAAAGCCCAAAGTGAAGTCAGCTGTAGATATTAACCATTTTTATGTAACCAACAAGCATGGTTATGGCAGAGTGTTTATTCCAGCTGAAGGACTGCAGCCTGTAAACAATCAAATCCGAACCAGACAATCCAGTGATTGATATTGTTGGAAACAATCCTGCCATTGGCGTACGATGACAAGCAATCAACGAAGTCACTGAGTCTGAATGCAACGTAAGCTGCACATTTATACTGTTTGGAAAATTTATACATCCAAATGTTTTTTAGCATCATGGCAATCTACACCCAAAAGGATGCACTACAGAGGGTATATTTACGTTCTAAGACGGTTTTCTTTTGCTAAAATTGAAATCCGATCTATTATCGAAATCGAGGTGGTGAAGAACGGAAGCCAGCTGACTGACTCAAGAACCACATAGCTTTCATTTAGACTGGGAGGTCAAAGTTTACTCGGGTGCTCCAGAGGTCACTCCTATGTAAGTATCCTCAGGTTTTATGCAGAGATGTATTGTATCTGAGTAAAAGATCTGATTATAATTAGATTGACACCACCAGGTCTGAAAACCCAGAAATTATTAAGATACAATTTTTTTGTTAAATCTCACATAATTGTAACTTCATGGTGACAGTAAAACTCAATGTGTTTAAATCGTATGAGTTCTTCTAGTCATTTTAGTCCTTTCTTGATTAAACTTTGATATCTAGCTTCTGTGAATCCTAATGCAAAACAAACGTCCACAGGTATTCTTAAGTTGACGTGGTAGAAAAATGTTTATTAACAACCAAATGAAAGACAAATACTGGTCAGCATCCATCAGTAAAACCAAAATGGTGGAACCAAGATGTGGACAGTAGGGATGAGCATTAACAATATTATCAAATTAGGATGATGAATCATATATACAACTGTCACTCTTCATCCACACGGGGTAATGTTGCCATGGTTCCAGGAGCCAGTAGCCAAGTAACTTGCTCAGTGCCAGGCATTGCACAGATGACATGTTCCACACAACCACTCTTCATTGATAATACAGCTCAAGGTTCATCCCATCGTGAATTTCATCTTGGTGTATGTTAAGGAAAGTAGTTCGGTAGCTGGAATGATTATTATATATGTAAGTTCAATAATTATTTGTGCAGATCATCCTCAGTTCTTGGACTTGCATACGCTATGTTCTCATTCATGAATACATACCAATGCCTTGCAGTGTAGTCAGTATTTCTAACCAACGATTCAAGCAATGGCCTGGATCCAATGAAAGGGAGACCAGCAACAGCTAGGACCAATTAGAGTGAGTGAGTGAGTTGGGTTTAACGCCGCTTTTAACAGTATTCCAGTTATATCGCGGCGTGTCAGCTTAATGTGGGAGGAAAGCCCGAAGTGATGCAGGTCTCAGACGTTTACCACTTCGGTGAAACCCACGAGCACGGGTATGGTGCTGATAAACCTAGAAACATAATCGGGGCGAACTGGGATTCGGAACTGGCGTGCCCAAGGGACACAACTCTGCACAGCGAATCGCGGCACCTTAGATGACTGGGCCACCCGTGCCCCCAGGACAAATTAGAGCTCAGACAACATCGGCAACATTTCTTGTGTAATATTTGCCATTTCCTTGAGGTCTCTACTCCACACATTGCTTCAATATCAGGCAACAGTTGGGTACAGACAAAGTTCATGCATGGAGTACGAATTATTTGACTTCCACGACTTATACATGGCCTTATTTCATTACCTGACAAAAAGCAAAAAGTGACTCGTCACTACAACATTACATACCATGTGTATTCACAGTATCTTCCTGAGTCCATGCATAGTCCAATCAAAACCGTAACGAACTAGACATCCAGTTCGTAAACAACATGGATTTCAACGTGCAGATTTTGGTCGACTGAAGGATTTGCAAAGCATGTCTACCACCAACTTGGTGGACACAGATATTTTGCACATTACAACATATATCTTGATTATCGATCAGATCGGCTTGACTAGGTCCCGCCATTTTGTTTGAAGCAATTGCAAGTGATATGAGAGGTAGAATCTGATTGGTCAATAGGTAGGACATACAAGGGACGAAACTCATAGTAGCCACTGGTGGCGCTACAGTCCAGCCTGGAAATTCCAGCCTAGTTCAGCAAGGGTGGAAACTGGACTTGTGTCGTCAGTTAACGCCCTTGCCTCAGGAAGATGTATTCACAGATGATGGAGGAACATGGTGCATACAAACCTGTGAAGTATTGATGCTTAGAGAGGCAGGATGAAAGCGGTTTAGTGGATGTTGTTTTTATAATAGAGTGAGTGAGTTTGTTTTTACACCACTTTAAGCAACATTAGAGCAATATCACAGTGGGGGACACAAGAAATGGGCTTCACACATTGTACACATGTGGGGAACGAACCCATCTGAGGAACGCTGAACCACAATTTTGTTTTTGTTTTTTGTTTGTGTTTAACACCGAACTCAGCAATATTCCAGCTATATGACGGTGGTCTGTAAATAATCGAGTCAGGACCAGACAATCCAGTGGTTGACATCATGAGCATCGATCCACGCAATTGGGATACGATGACATGCATCTACCAAGTCAGCGAGTCTGACCACCCAGTCCCATTAGTCGCCTTTTACGACAAACATAGTCGCCTTTCACGGCAAGCATGGGTTGCTGAAGACCTATTCTACCCTGGATCTTCACGGGTCCACTTACTGGGTCTACCCAACCGCCGTATTGATAGCTGAGACGAAATACCCCGTGTAAAGATCTGAAAGATTATTTACAAGAATGAAACTCTTATAGGAAAGGATACAGTCACCTAGTGTCACATGGTCCTTGAAGATTGTGTACCTGAAACAAAAAAAACAGGCTTCATGTTTATAAAGTAGTCATGGTAATGATAATTAAAAGTTCAGTGGTAGAGAGTCCTTCAGATTCTGTCTGTAGTATTTGATCAATATATATATGACGCACGTATATAACGCACCTGGGGATCAAACCCAAGACCTCACTCTCTCCGGGTGGACACTCTACCACCAGACCACAGAGGCAGTCTGACCCTCCCAGGGGTTTATCTAGACCTGCTCAGAGGTCGATCTTCATCTCCAACTTACTGCCTTGCAAAGGTGATTTGCATTTCACTGATAACAGGACCAATAATGCACAAGAGGCTTTGATGTTTAATTTAATATTTTTGCATGAAATATTAAAATACCCCTTAATTTACAAAACAAAAAAGGAAAAATTAAAATTTGGAACAAAATTATGTTTTCCTCCAATAGTCATAGTTTGAAGTCTGAGATAAATCCCTGGCTGCATTCTTCAATCAATTCAGCTTTTGCAAGAAGTGAGGGATAACAGGGCTAATTCTGGATGTAATCCATTCACAATAACATTTCAATTGTTCAAAAAACAACAAAACAGTTTGGCACATTTATAGTAAACTCAACATGGTTTGACACCTTTTACCTCAATCACGTCAATGACAGGATGATAGTTGAAAGTGAGCGAGTGAGCGAGTTGGATTAATTCCGCTTTGAACAGTATTCAAGTTCTATCACAGCGTGTCAGCTTGTTAAGTGAGGCAGATCTTAGACATCTACCACTTTGGGGAAATCCACGAGCACGGGTATTGTGCTCATAAACCTAGAAACATAATGACGAATAGGAATTCTAACCCATGGTCATATGTTTCTGGTGTGCCCAAGGGATGCAACTCTGCACAGTGAATTGCAGTGCCTTAGATGACTGGGCCACCCATGCCCCCTCCCAAAGGGATGAGGTGGTGGACATATACGATGGTGAGAATTCCATGAGCACAATCTAGGTTAGGTGATGAAAAACTAACAATCACAATGAGGCCAAATGTGGGATTTGAATCAACAATCACGGGATGCTAGCATGCCTAAGGGAGACAAATCTGCAACTTCCAGTGCCTTAGGGGAATGACTGGCCGTTTAGTGCCCTCAATATTTAAGTGCTGGCATGAGTGAATGTTGAACGCTGCTCTCAGAAACACTCAAGCATTATCACAGCAACTAGACCAACAACTATTCTCTGAAACAGAAGTATTTCACAAGACAACAGTTGTCAATCATCTCAATAAAATATAACAAAATTGAGCCGAGAGACTCTTCGAAAACTGTATCAATCTAGACTTGCCAGCCATACATACCATTTCTTGAGGACGATCTTGTCCCACCTGGTGCCTGTCTGTGCTGCTATCAACTTTTTCAGATCCCCTATGGTGTCATCGGAGCTGAAGCTTGGTTAAGGCATCAACACGTCAAGTGAGATTGGAGTGAGTGAGTGAATGAGTGAATGTTGTTTTCTGCTGCTGCAATATCACAGAAATATCACTAATCAAGTCTGGTCTGCAAACTAGGGTTAACAGTGTGAGTGAGTATGGTTTTATGCCACTTTTAGCATGTTTAGCAATATTCCAGCAATATCACTGCGGGGGGACACCAGAAATGGGCTTTACACATTGTACCCATGATGGTAATAGAACCCGGGTCTTCAGTGTGACTAGCTTCAACCACTAGGCTATCCAACTGCCCATTGACAGCATGCGCAACTATTCATGCTGTTGGGGTACGATTACATAACTGGTGTGAGTGTGAGCTTGGTTTAATGCCAGTATTCCAGAGTGCTGGTGATGAGGTGCCTCACGCTGGCAGTGTGGGTTCCAATCCTGGATGGGACTGAAACCCCCAAATCTATGAGAATCTGTACTATAGTCTTTACTAAGACAGTGTTATCCCAATATAACATTTCTTACATTTGATAGGTTGGTAAATTGAAAATCAAGGGCGGGTAATTTAAGATCCCAAGGATCACAAGAACCACTGGAATGGATCCAGGGGTTAGTGTCGGTTTACTGAAATGGAGTCCTGGAGACAAAGAGTGAGTGAGTGAGCTGGGTTTAACGCCGCTTTTAACAGTATTCGAGTCATATCACGGCATGTCAGCTTTATGTGGGAGGAAAGCCCCAAGAGATGCAGGTCTTAGACGTTTACCACTTCGGTGATACCCACGAGCACAGGTATGGTGCTGACAAACCTAGAAACATAATCGGGGCGAACCGGGATTCAATCAAAAGGTTTCTGGCGTGCCCAAGGGACGCAACTCTGCACAGCGAATTGCGGCGCCTTAGACGACTGGGCCACCCGTGCCCCCTGGAGACAAAGAAGGACGCCAGTGTGGCTTCATGACTACATCTGCTCCTGAACTACAAGTTTGCTGAATGAGCCAGCTTTTGTGACTCTAAAAAGTGCTTGCAGATTTCTAATCTGATTTCTTGGAAAATAGATAATTTTCACTTCGAGCGAGACAATATGCCAACATCAGGTGTTGATACATATCACAGCCATTTTCTAAAAAAACATTCCACATTTAATCGTGTTAATAGGTCCCAGCTGACAAGATATTGCCATCAACAAGTTGGTGCTTAATTTTGGGTAATATCTCTCATTCTAATGGTATTGTGCAATCAGTTGGTGCATTTTGTTTCATGATGGGTGGAAAGGTAATGCTATCCAGAGTATAAGGCTTTGTTCACATAATTTTGAAAACCAATACGGTATTTATTAATGAATTGATAATGGGTAGACACATTGTGAGTCATATCCAGCTTAAATCTGTGAATTTGGCACCCAACTTCTGAAGGGTTTACCCCCTTAAGACCTTTATGTATGTGTGTGTGTTGTTCAATACAGACCAGACAATCCACATGATCCAGTACTCGATATTATGAGCAACTATTCACATCATTAGCAGGGTTCAACTGTCGTCACGCTTTCGCTTCTTGTCTGAGGTTACGTATCGTAGCATTGTGAGGATAATGAGGTACATCGATGATGCAAGGTATTAATGTACAGTTGTAAACACCTTTCACTCAAATTAACAAGATGTTCTCAGTAATTAATCCTCGATTAATCAGTGTCAACTCAGTTTATTGCCTATTACAGTGATTGACCGATTGGACTATCATGTAGGTACGATGTATTTACAGCAATCAAAACAAACAAAGCTTGTCAGTGTAGTTAATCTTCATTGTGTTGCAACTGCAGACAGAAACTGCTCAGTCCTAACTGTTGATCATGTCCGGTCAAAATTTAAGAATGTCCGGACAATACTTTTTAAAATGTCCGGTAAGCAATATTTTAAAACGGACATTTGAGATTCCCAATCGGACATGTCCGGCGCATATGACGGTTTCCGGACCCCTGTTTCAACACCATGCAGAAATGGGCATCCAGAACGCACAATGTATAGAATGAACGCGGAGAAGACGGACGCCCAATAATATTCATACCAAATATGTGACAAGACAAGTCTTGTTATTACAAAATTTTACACATTTTACAGCCTTAGAAATTGGCACTAGTCCTGTAGTCCTTGCCAATCTGTGCAATAGTTAAGGTATCATAAGGGCTAGTAGAAATTTACCATTTTAAGGGTTTTGCTATATGTAATCATTATAGGGATTAGTGGACTAAAAATGCTAGTTTCTACCCCTGATTTTATGCTTTGAACAGTATTCTGTTGACATCACAGCATGTCAACTTGATGTGGTAGGAAAGCCGAAAGTGATGCAGGTCTTAGATGTTTACCACTTTGGTGAAACCCACAAGCATGGGTATGGTGCTGACAAACCTAGAAACATAATCGGGGCGAACTGGGATTCAAATCCACGATCATAGGTTTCTGACGTGCCCAAGGGATGCAACTCTGCACAGCGAATCGCGTCACCTTTGACGACTGGGCCACCCATGCCCCCTACAGTATAGTATATGGCTCCATTTCAATACTTTACAGGACTCTCATATTCCTGAGAGGACATTTGAAATAATTAAATCGGGATTTCCAGGACGCCTAGTTTTTTAGGTCAAGGTAAAACCCTGGTTGTGGTATGTTGACACGCCATCAACCAAGTCACCAAGTTGACCACATGATTCTGTAAGTTGCCTCTTACGACACGCATTTGTTGCTTTGGGTCAATTCTAACCCAGGAATCCCAACGGGTTTCCAATTTATTCCTCTCTGACAACAAGCAACGGTGTGCTGGGGCCACACTGGGATAAAGGATACTTGCACTTCACACGAACTTTCTTTCCAAGACGGTCATTACACGTAATTTCAATCATGCTGTTGAAAAGTAGGTGAGAATATTTCAGTCTCCAAGTTGACAGTCGTGTTGATCTGAGGTTAAGTTCTGAAAAAGAGTGGAATGGCATTTACATCATGTACATTTAATTAGCATGACTCATAAAAATTAATACAACATGACCCAATCTACAAATAAAATCAGAGTATCATGGTAACAGTAAGTCATGATAAGTTGTAAGGTGAAATAAATGAAGGACATGTGTCTGTTCTCGTGAAACTCACTGAGTGACCAGACAAAATGTTCATATTTGTGGCGGCCGCCTCCTAGTTTAGAGGTAGAGCATCCGCCCGGAGAGCGGAAGGTCCGGGGTTCGATCCCCAGCCGTGTCATACCAAAAGACGTTAAAAGATGGTACTTGTTGTTACCCTGTCTGGCGCTCGGCATTAAGGGGCTAAAACAAAGACTGGTCGGCTCGGAGTCAGTATAATGTGTCTGAGTGGGGTATTCCTGTTAAAACTGCGGCATGGTATCTCAGTGTGCTAGCACTATAAATCCGCATCAGTCCGGATTAGTACAAGCAGCCTCACACACACACACATACATGTGCATGCACGTCGCTATAAAAGTGCAATAATCTTGGACGCGACGTTGAACCCCATTTCACCTCACCTCATATTTGTGGCACAGTCTTCACGTTAGCAGGTCACAGAAAGAAATACATATAGGATTCAGGTTGCCTGTTTATGCGAGGTCTTATTCGCTTGAACTTCTTCATGTATATATGTAAGACATAAACAGCGAGTGGGAGTTGTTTACCTAACAGTAAAACACTGCAGGGGCGCAGCAATCACTTGTGAAATATTTTCATGCAATAATTTTCTAAATACAACATGTACACTGTATTTGTCTATCACCATTATCAAGCTAACATGATCATGATGATGTAAATCTTAAAAAAAAAAAAAAAATTGTGTGGGTAGAGTGAGTGAAATGTCTTGTTACTTCGCAATCAGCTATATTACACCTTTATTGGACTCAGACTCTCTATTTCTTAGGAATCTTATATTTCTTGAAACATGGACAATTGTTTTATCCTGCTGACTAAACAATAGGTCTTAACTTACTTTTAACAAGTGAAATGGAGTTCATCATTCTGCACATTTGGGTGTGTGAAGAACAGATCAGTCTTACAAACAACAAAGTGAGCTTAAAAAGTATTTATTAATGTGCTTTTGGCTGTTCTTGTTGAAAGAATGAGAAAAAATTATATTTGGAGGTAAGTGACTCAGGAAGATTTAGATATACCATATTCGACATAACAAGCACCCAGGGCGCTCTCAAAATGAGAAATAGGGGGCTCTTATTAGAATAAAATTTTAGTGAGCAAAAAAACAGAATTGAAAAATCATAAATTTAGTGGTTTATGCTGACAGCCAGAAATGATACAAAAGAAAAGTATGTGCGTATTTAGACGACAGATATATTTTCCAGAATATAATTGCCCATAATTAAGGGTGCATATATCACACGAGTGCGTATTATACACGAATAAATAAGTCTTGTGTACATTGATCAATCGGAAGGGGTGCTATTTGGGATTGTTCACTAGCCAATATATTAGCAAATATTGACTTGGGCGCTTATTAGAGCGGGGCGCTTATTACTTTGAATGCGGTAATTCTCATAGGTCTCAAATCTATTTTATCACATCATGTAGTCAACTTCCCATTGACATGCTTTTCTAGCCAATGCATATATCCCAGTAGCACTAGATACTGTTACTGCATACTTAAAATTATACTACAAACATGACCGATAAACTGGTGGAAATGTATTAAAGGGGCACTGATCTAACGCAATTCCCCGGGACTGGTTGTTGCCTTTGTTATTGTTTTTTCCCAGTGAGTACCCGGATGTATAGCAGAAATCTAGACTAGTTCGCGACCTCTGCTGCGCCATTCGTAAGCGCATTAGTCACTTTTATGGGTAGTAATATAGAGGGCGTATGGTCACATTGATCAACAAAATGAAATACAGTTTTGGAGATAATAAGTAAATGTAGGTATCTTTGTGGTTAGCATCGGTAATGGTGACGAAGTTTTGATAAGTCACTCAATTGCTTGGTAATTTTGCGATTTTCGTTTACACTATTTTGACTTGCAACACAAAGTAAATATTTCACCTGAGCATTGCTTTTTGATAGTGTGTACATTTTTTACTGTCAAAATGTGTAACATTTTCAAATTTATTCAACGCCTAAATATTCAGTTATTTAACAAAGTGACTGAAAAACATTTCCATCTGTATTATTATGATAACGAATTCCAAACATTTTGATGTTTAATGTCATCACCAAGAGAATGAAAATGTTACGTTGAAAAGTACATTTCTATGTTGTTTGGCTTTTAATCCTACATAATAATCTGTTGTGATGTTTGTAGGCCCTTTTGATCGCCTTAATCAATGTGGACAGATTTTTTAGTCAAAATGACTGAAATATTTACACATTTTATAAATTGCCTGAGAGAATTACATTTTACAAATTGACGGTAATATATACACGCTTACAAGGGAAAAGGCCTGTGAAAACAACGTCTAAAGCGCATTGAAGAATTTCCCAACCAAGACGTAGAGAAACAAGGACGAATCGGTTCAATACTACAGCAAATGAAGGAAAACAAAATGCAAATACCATAACTACAACCTACCAAATTTATGTGTATAAATTTTAGGCAGCTTCCTTGTTCGAGGAATGTATCCGTGAATATCCACACAAAGGAACAATATCCCCCTCGTCTGCAGCTGTACAAAGAAACCTATTTGATGTCACGTGTCTCTGTAACAATCACATATTTTAAAAGATATATATCGTTTCGGGATATTATAACCCGTGTTCGTTTCTCAACTGATCACTTGGATTGTTTCAGGTGTTTCACATAGGTGTCAAGTCTCATGGGTCAGCTGAGAAAGCCCACGTGACAACTATTTTCATAACGTCCACGGTTCCTAAAAAATCCATTGAGTGATAGATAACAATGATCAATCAATCAACGTATTATCAGTTAACCCTTTGAACAAAGTATGTTGTTTTTACATCGGCACTTCACGCAAGGATATGTGTGTTTTCCCTTTGTTTTAGTAAACCTAGACATGTAAACACTCACTTTTGACATATCCACTGTGCAAGATAACAGTGATTAATCAATCAACGTATTTTCTGTTAATCCTTTGATGACTAGGAACGATCCGTTGATTTACAAAAAAAAGTAAATCAACTGATCATTCACCTCTTGCTGGTCTGCCACGTGCATATTACACAACACATTTCACCTCACTTCAAACCTGGATTTAGATTGAATAATTACCCCAGACACAATAAATGCCAAATGGGAACCTTTGTCAGGTAATCTATGTGGTGCTACCACTAATTGTACCTGTAATAAATTCATTAACTCAGCATCAAGTGAATGACGACAAATACACAAGTGTAGGGTTATGCGAGAAAACGTGGATGACAACAAGGGAGTAGTAATCGTATTATCGACGCAATCCGAAAACCGAAAATGCTTTCACTGCATGGATACTTTTTTTAGTGTTAACTATAACCATCTGGGGTATTTCCAAATGACGACATCCGATGAGCTCCGCCGTTCTTTTTGTCTGTTAGTTTAGGCTGAAGAAATTAATTAACATGCGCACTTTGTCGAAATCTTTTTAGATCACGGTTAACAAATCAGTGTTTATGCAAAAATGCGTAAAACAAATATTGCCTCCAGCCTCCAAGTTTATTTAGCTGTCCTTGCAGACGGTAGCCCAGTCTCTGGTCACGCTCAGTTGCGTTGCGTATCATCCGGGTACTCACGGGGGGAAAAACAATAACAAAGGCAACAACCAGTCCGGGGAATTGCGTTAGATCAGTGCCCCTTTAAACTGCACCTGAGAATATTTCAGTGTCCTTTGTTGTTCTATCATATAACATGTTTATTTGTAACATTAAAAATACGATCTTGCCTTTAGTAGTACAATTTCATTTCTGTAAATCACTGTAATAACATATTTCATATGGCGATTCTATTTTCATAACAATTGTCTACAACTGCAAGTCACAACTGAGAATCGCAAGAACTGATGATCTGAAGTGGACAAGGGTTTATTCAACAGTTTAAAACAGAATCATTGTGACAAGTTTCTGAAAACCGTGTTCGCGAAAATCACTCCTAAATGTACCAGCAACCCTGTTTCTCCACACCCAATATGATATGTGCTATACATACCTGAGATGTGTATATATATTCACCACAACAAAACTCATAAGACACGTTTCTCAACACCGGAAGTGGTTTAGAGCTCTTTACAGCGAGAATGATGTTAAACTATGAATCAGAGTTTCGACGTAGCCTATCAGAGTTACTTCCCCTATGTCGCTGAGCTCCTTCCCAGCGCGTGACACCTTCGTTACACTCTCGACTGACCATGTTTTCCAGATGAATTTACTTTATTGTTTTAATAATAAGATTGGTTCGAGATTGCAGACTAACGGAAAATCAACCAACTTCTCCTTTACATTCTTACCATATCAATTAAAGATAATAGTTTTAATGAAATAGAAATTCGAATTGACAAAAAAAGAAGTAATTTATCAGCGGTAAGTGTATTCGGCGTCACGACAGTCGTCACTTGTTTGTAAACAATAACATTCATTCGGTTGCGAGTTGAACTCCACGCATGGTTGGGACCACCTATCATAGTGGGGAGTTTTGACAGGTGGCAGCGAGAGCTCCGTGAACGGACTATTGCTGTGAGGAGCTTGGGTGAGCGATTCGGCCAAAGACTTCTCTTTGGTAATACATTACATCACAAAGATAAAAGCGTCCGAGTAATGACCTATCAAATTCAGATTATTTTTTCCGTGAAACGTGATGTTTTACTAAATGATAAATGAGAGAGACAACATGCAGGTTTCGATTTAGCGCGGTAATTGTTTTCAATTTGACCGTGCTACTGCACTGCAATCAATTTAAAGTTTCCAGTAAGTGACTATAAGAAGGGGTGAGGTGAAATTGGGTTTAACGTCGCGTCCAAGATTATTGCACTTATATAGCGACGTGCATGCACGTGTGTGTGGCTGCTTGTACTGGTTCGAACTCATGCCGATTTATAGTGCTAGCCCATGCACTGAAATACCATGCAGCAGTTTAACATGAATACCCCATTCAGACACAGTATACTGACTTCGAGCCGATCAGTCCTTGTTTTAAGCCCCTTAATGCCGAGCGCCAGACAGGGTAACAACAAGTACCATCTTTTAACGTCTTTTGGTATGACGCGGCCGGGGATCAAACCCCGGACCTTCCGCTCTCCGGGCGGACGCTCTACCACTAGACCACGGAGGCGGTCAGGCTATAAGATGGAAGGGATTAACTCCGATAGGTCACCGGACAGGATTTGGCGATCTTTGCCTTGAAATCTATAATAACTGTCAAATCATTATAATATATCAGTTGTCCGATACACATGCCAAAGACTTTAGGCACTATGTAAAAACAATTAATTTTGCCAAATGAGGTCCAAAACGTAAATAGAGGCCAAGGCTCGCTAAATACAATGTTTATTCCTAACAAAGGATATTTATCATCCCCAAACACACAAGCGTGATAACCTCTTTATCATATAATGCCATTCTTTAATTCTGTGCTTCAAAATCGCTTTCCCTCTCTCACAAACATTACCGAAACATTGCGAGTTTTCCTGGAATGCGCGAATTAATATTTATTACGTCACAGGGTAAGTGATGTGTCAGTCGGACAGTGACAGTAGCCAATATAGTTCCAACTGAAATCTGTTTCTTATACAGTGTCGAGCAACATATACGATAAACAACAATTGTTTTTAATTGCCTTTCGCGGCAATCCATCGGTCTGTCCGCTAGAGTAACTGCCCTTTGTCAAAAGGAAGCTACTCTAACCCTAGTCTATGAGACGTCACGACCACGGTCAGACGTTGTTCACAGTCGGTCTGTCCTGTCATAACGTTAAGAAGTGTAGTCAGATGTACACACAGCGACAAAACGAAACAAGGTAACAATTCAAACATATTTCGGCCAAATCCAACTATTTTAATTTGTGGAGAAGGTTTCAAGCCGCAGAGGTCTACAAGCGCAGATATGGCTACTAATCCCGCTTGGCTAGGCCTCGTGCCCTCGTAAAATTGTTTCGAAATTTATATCGCCAAAGTTGCCAAAACTTATAAAATGCCTTAGCTACGTCACATTTAGACTATGATTTTCAGTATATTAGACTGTTCTTTTGATGATAATAGCAATTATCCCTGTAGTTTATCCAGATTCCCGATGGTTAATTCTGACTCGATCGCCGAATGACGAGGGCGACGCCATGTTTGTTTATAAACAGTGAAAGTAGTCCCTACTTGACCTTTGATATTTGCATCTCTATCCGCATATGACCCCAACGGATATCGTTTTTATCCGTTGGCTTTATCCTGCCGAGAAACCTACCCATTATATGATAAACTAAGATACCTTAATAACAGCGCTGTCTGGAGTAAAGGCAATATTGCAGCTTTTATTAAGAAACACGTCACGCTTTAGGTGAAAGACAGTTGTGCAAATTAACACTTAACAATTTATATACTTTATAAATGGTTAAAAATACATCACTGGATTATCTTTGGGATCTTGTTCCACCTAAAGAAGCTAGTGCAAGCAAGTGCCATCCCAGAAATCGATTAAATGCAAAAGTATTAATTATGCAATTATTTATTCCATACAGTCGAAATATGACATGCCTGCTAAAAAAATTGTTTGATCAGGGTTAAATTCAAGGCTTTCAAAACGTTTCATGATAATACATCGATCCTTTCATATTGCGCAATGAAACCCTGACATAAACAAAAATCATTCCCGCGATTTAGCTGTAATGTTGCTGAGTGCCACGTTAAACATTGTAAACAAATCTTGTTCTTACATCGAATCAACAGCAGCTCCTCCTACAGGAGACTAATCCACTATTAGACCACTAGACCACGGAGGAGGTCTTATTGGAAGTAGACTGGCAGCTTGGTTTCAACTCCGCGGGTCAAGTATTATCTTCGAGTGTACATAAATTATCAACTGGTGTTAAACACTGACATACTGACCGAGTTCCGCACGGCGGGTGCTGCGGCCCATATTTGCGTTGTCTCTCTCAAGGTTCTACGTGTACACCCACAGAAAGGTCAGTGATGTTTGTTTGATTTACATGTTAAAAAATGTAGTCCTTTATATGTATATTCGTTATGGAACACAACAGTTTGTGAACAATACCCTGTTATAGCATGTGAGAAGACATGAATATGTTTAAATAATCGACCCGCAACTTTTTCCATATGTCCAAGGGCGTATGTTTCGGCCCTCGGGGTGATGACGGAAGACAAAACTCAGGGGTGAAGTTTAAGACGACAGCAGCCATGTTTATTGTTGATGGTTGAAATGAGTCGAAAAGGTACATGTTGATAATAACGTGACAGAACGCATACCGGGACCGAGTGGCCAATCTTCCCGGGTGGGAGGACCGTTCTGTCACTTACCTTCTGTCTGTCTCCAGACTGTCTCTCCAGGCTGTCTCCCTGACTGACCATGTCAGTCGCGTTTTGTAGAGCGAGGTATTACGTAACGTGTGGCAAGGTCATTGTCCCACGTGTATGTATAGACGTAAGATCCGGCGACGTTAGGAGGTGTTAATTGAAATTTATAGATAGCGCTGGAGATTAAGGGTCCTGCCCGGAGGGGCTTATGATAAGAGGGGATACGCCGAATGTTTGCTGAATATATTAAACAGACAAAGGGCATAGAATTTCGGTGCACTTGGAAACACATTGAACCAGTTAGGTATTTAGATAAATGACATGTTAAATAAAAGTATTAACATGGTTTGCACAATTATAAATAAAAGTATTGAAATGGTTTGCACTATAACACATATTTGAAATCATATCCTAGCTGTGGCCTAACTGGTCGAGTCGCCGTGACCTACCGTGGTGGATTTCTGTTTGCTAAAAAGTCAGCTAACGTATTCTGATTCAGACAACAGCCTGCATGGTCAGCGTCTTGTCGCACAAGCACAGTACGGGATCACGGGAGTGAGACCTTTAGGTGTGTTTGTTTAACGTCTCCACTCCACTCATTTCTCTATATGTCAACTTTCTGTATTCCCTCGCTCACTGTAATTCTTGATCTTAACTTCCCCCGTGCTGCGTCATCGACTCACAATCACAGTCTCGCTTAGGCTTAGAGATCATCTTATTCTCTGTGTGTGTGTTGAAATTGTATGTATGTATGTATGTATGTATGTATGTATGTATGTATGTATGTATGTATGTATGTATGTATGCATGCATGTATGTATGTATGTGTGTGCGTGCGTGCGTGCGTGCGTGCGTGCGTGTGCTTGCGTGCGTGTGTATAGTGTGTATGTGTGTGAATATATATGTGTGTCAGGTGCGTGTGTATGTGTGTGAATACATATGTGTGTGTGTGTGTGTGTGTGTGTGTGTGTGTGTGTGTGTGTGTGTGTCAGGTGTGTGTGTTGAGGAGTGGGGAGAGGGGACTGGTATACCAGTCACGTCTTCATGACATACAATGGTTTTGCCTGAGAGTGAGGAGCCAAACACTCGCTACCACAATGCATTATGTTTTCAGAACACCTGGCGTGTAAAAGGTTAAACCTGATGATTGCAAACCACATTTACATTCTCTCTGACTCATTCCTCTTTGCAGAAGTAACCATGTCTGACTACCACATCAGGCGAGCCACGGTTGATGACTTCGACCGCGTCATGGCCATTGGGGACGTTTACGGGGGTATTGACTACCTGCGTCATCATTATCCCCTTTTTATGGACGACCCTTACGCCCAGTCGTATGTCTACGTCGTCGGTGAGGAGATAGTAAGTAGCATACTATATGGGTAACGCTATTTTCAGGGCATTATCATTTAAAGAAGCCTAAGGTTTTCCATTAACTGCCCGACGAAGGAGGGCAGTTGAAAAGACGGAGGGCTTCTGCAAATGATAATGCCCTGAAAACGAGCGTTACCGTTATTATAGCTAAAATGGATGGAATTTGTTATCAAATAAAAAGAAACTATAACATCGGTTTTGAAACATTTAGTGCAATCAACACGAATGTCACTGACCACATTTTACAAATATGGAAACGTCATAGAACAAACCAGATGACGTCAATGTAATACGTGACGTCATTTTCTCTACCCTATGACGTCACCTAACAACAGGCTTGATAATGACCCGTCGTCAAGCAATATGAGGGCATTTTACAGTGGCCCGCTCATTTCTGATAACGTGCGGGCGGTTTAATGATAAATCTATCCATTTTAGCTATAATGACCATTAACAATGAACCGTCTCAGAACTGTTACCAGATAACTAATCCACAAATCTAAATGAAGGGATCTAAGAAATACAAAGCTAACACATTTTGACATCCTGTCTGAGGGAGATTTAATATTCGTTGAATGGTGAGCTATATTTTCTTCAACTTCTTTAAGACACGCAATTTATATATTTTTACAACACATTTTTCAAACAAATACAGCATACCCAGCAGACACTGTCATTTGTTTTGGTTCGACCTGAGGTGAATGTTTTTATTTAAATTTTTGTCTTCATATGTAAAATATCAACACCAAAGAACAACCAGTATCGATTAGACGAAACTGATTCCTCTAAGCATGAAAGACTGAGTAACGTATACAATTGTATAATTTGTAAATGTAAGTGATGACACCAGGTGTTCTCGAAAAAGGTAAAACAAATCCCAGACCAGACCTTTGTTCACCTTCTTAGGACAAACCCTGTGATAATGCATGTATAATTTATTTATGACCCCTCGTCTACGTAGGTTGGCTTCTGCACTTCTTTCCTGGTCGACGATGGGCTGACCTTTCTAGTTCGAGGCAGCAGGGTTAAGAAAGACTTCCAAGGACAAGGGGTTTATGGCCGTCTTATGAAACACGTTTACGCAGAATACAAAGACGTAGACAGCATCCAATACGACGCCATGACCACCAACAATTGCAACTTTGAAGCTAAGAAAGACAGCCTTAGGAAAACCCATACTGAAATTTCAAGAAAGGTTTGTAAATATTATACGCTATGATGAAACATAATTGGTTACTTGTTTTGTTTGTTCGTTTGTTGTTTAACGCCACACTCAGCAGTATTCCTGCTATATGACGGCGGTCTGTAAATAATCGAGTCTGGACCAGACAATCAAGTGATAGACATCATGAGCATCGATAAACGCAATTGGGATACGATGACATGCATCAACCAAGTCAGCGAGCCTGACCACCCGATCCCGTAAGGGGCCTCTCACGACAAGCATAGTCGCCTTTTAGGACAAAATTAGTTTCTTGAATCGGAAAGTGTTCACGTTGTCGATGTGGGAGCAGGATATGCTTCTACTATCACATACAACGCCCTTTAGACGTGTTATATTGCATCCCGTTCTAAAGATAACATTCGTACAGGTTTTGACTTTAATGGTGTATTGACATAGCCGGATGAACATCATTGTAATGAATCTATCCTAAAACATTCAAACAGTATTGATTATAATGAAGTTGCCGAGTTAGTCAATGTGGAAATCTTCTAAAACTTTATGAACATGACACTACACTTACTAAGAGAGCCCTGCTTATCACGTATACTAATACATATATGGTATTTAGAAGTGATGCACGTGAGAGAGAGAATATAATGGACGTCAAAAAATTATTTCTTCATACGACGAACATAACGTTAGGGGAATATGCTTGTGAATTTTGTGATGACATCCATCATATTCTCTCTCTTTTGTTTACACTATAATTACAAAATAATTATAACCTCTCCAATACATAGGCATTTTCAAACATCCACAACCATTTTCAAATATTTCCATACTTGGAAACATCATCTTTCCTATCACATATTTACAATAGTGGGAAGTATGGAAAGCTTAATTTTTCCGATGCAAGGGAGTTAACTGAGTATGAAAGTCGTCCCGATTAAGTTTCTAGGTTTGTCAGCACCATTACCGTGCTCGTGGGTTTCACCGAAGTGGTAAACGTCTAAGAACTTAGGGCTTTCCTCCCACATGGAGCTGACACGTCGCGATATGACTGGAATATTGTTAAAAGCGGCGTAAAACCCAACTCACTCACTCATGAATATGCAAAGGGTTTTGTCCAAAATGACAATATTATGATCGCGAACTTCTTTCACTTGACTTTAGTATAAATAAATCTTACAGGGATCTTGCTGTGGTGTCATCAACAGTCACTTATCAATCTTGAAATGTTGACTTTATATAATTGATGCATGATTAATGAAATCTTCTCGGGAAATAAGTCTTGCTTCGAAACATGTCTTAAGGTCGCTGTACGCTGCTGTCTGTCCTCGCTGAGCCATACGGACTGAAGAAGATGTGTACATTTATGGCATATAGTTCATGTTTGACAAAAGTTGTGTCATTTGGGATATTATAAGTATTCAGCAATTCAATAAGAACAGGGGCACATACACACAAGCACGTTTCTTGTTGAAAGACAAATTTGTTCTTGTATTGCCTCTTGTCATTGCAGAACTTCTTGAATTATCACTTTAAGATGGAAGATATTCAACCTCTCACCCCGCCAACCGATATAATTCTGGAGGAGGTCAACTCGTCAGCTATGATGTCATTATTTGAGGACAACATTACACGCGAGAAACTGTTTCCTGGAGACAAGATAATCATAGATTGGGTTCCCCTACGCCTGCTACTCTCCAACATGAAGTACATACTCGCACCAAGCTCATTAGCGCTCCAGTCAAGGGGCGATGACACTCACGTGTCACTTCTCACGGTTGGAACACCAATGCAGTGTGAGAAGGGAATCAGATATAGTCTCGATGTTTTCGGAAGCGACGGCTCCGTCCTACGTCATCACATTATTCGTCACATGGAGTACCTACGCTCGCTGACTCAGAAAGCAGTTGTATTTCAGATTATAACTGCATTCGAGTTAGGAAATAACGGGGATGATATTATAAAAGGCCTGGGGGTTCCTCCATTCGATTTTCCGATGACTGAAATGATTTATTTTGAAAAGAGTTTCAGGTGAAAAATGTCAGATGTTCACGGTCGAGGAAATGTTCCTTGAGTCATCATGTCTTAGTCTTAATTACGAAGATTTGCAACTGGGATACGTTAAAGTTAGACTCAGGGCAGAGGGACTTCTTACAAATGCATTTTTTCTATATAACATAGGCAGTCCGTTCGAAATATTACATAAAGAAAAATGTGAAACAATTTGAAAAGGTTTGTTTTGCATTCAACAATATTGCGGCTACATGACGTCGATCTGGAAATCATCGAGTCGCGATCAGACAATCTAGGGACTCATATCTCCACACAATAATGATATGATGAAACAATGCACACCAAGTTACCGCTTCTATCCTTGAATCACAAGCTGGGGACATGTCGTTTTTGCTGTTGCTTAACACGCGGTCAGCAATATCCTAGCTACAGGACGGCAACACGTAAATATTGCCATGTAATATATTGATTATATTACCAATGACAGATACCACGAAGATCACTTCTTATCACACGTGTATATAATCGGATCCACATATTTAAGACCCGTGAAGATCCGGGGTAGAATAGGTCTTCAGCAATCCATGCTTGCCGTAAAAGGCGACTATGCTTGTCGTAAGAGGCGACTAACGGGATTGGGTGGTCAGGCTCCCTGACTTGGTTGATGCATGTCATCGATCCCAATTCCGAGGATCGATGCTCATGATATTAATCACTGGATTGTCTGGTCTAGACTCGATTATTTAGAGACTGCCGTGATATAGCTGGACTAATGCTGAGTGCGGCGTTAAACAACCAACCAACCAACCAACCACATATTTAAACTCTGAAAAATACTTTATTATTCAAAGTCATATTATATCATGTTTCAAGATTCCATTTGCTTTTGTTTGTTTGTATTTAAAGCTTCACTCAGCAATGTTTCAGCTATATGACTGCGTTCTGTAAATAATCGAGTCTGGACCAGACAATCAAGTGATTGACATCATATGCAAATGGGATACGATGACATTCATCCACCAAGTCAGCAGGCCAAGCATAGGTTTATGGAGATCTATATTCTTACTGGGAATTTCTACTGGATCGTGACATGCATGTGGTGTAGCTGGTATATGTCATCAAACAGAATATGACATGATATTATCAAATGTATGTTGCATTTGCAGTGCATCTGTGTTTTACGAGGACATTAGAATCTAATAAAAACAAGCATAAACGCATCATTGACCTCGTTGCCTTTCAACCCATAGAGAACAAATATTAGCACATATCATGCTTGATTCTGATTGGTGACATTAACATTAAAATCAGTTATCTATTTTTTCAACACAAAAACGAGCATGTGATTACATCGATCTTCAGTAGTCTACATATGATGCATATAACAATGGTATCCGACAACCCATGCTATCATATAATCGGGAAGGAGGAACCCCTTTCCCACAACATAACATAACATAACGTTGACAATACCTCGCATAGCTCTTGATGTTGCACATACTGCACCTTAAGCACAACACCCACGAAATGCCCGAAACCACATACTGGTTACGACCATTGCAGGCACACATTTCTCAACACAGGCTGCATGCTCAGTAAAAAACACGATCATGGCACGTCGTAGATAGTCGGAAGCGTTGAGCTGGCAGATTATTGGAATGGGATATGCAGGAATGTATTGAAGGGAAATGGGACGTCATCATACATGATAAATGCAGGAATACCAAACAACATATAAGTTAAGATCAGGCCACGCCCAGGTCACCCTCGCAAGACAGCCAGGAGAAAAGATGGATTATTATTAAGGCTCTTTGCACGAGATCCATTTGACAACAGTACAGCTGGATACAGAGACAGAAGATTAACCATACGCCCCTTGTTAACTTAGGACTGAAAAACGGTTCATTTGGTATGGTCGAATCAACATATAAAATGGAATATTGAGTCCATTTCTCTGATAAAGGTTTTCTATTATACAATGGTAGACGGTCGTACACGTGTCTGGAGGCGGGCAAATACAGTCAAAGCTGCACACACCATTCCAGAGACCCATCCATTTTGGTTGGCGATCGGTTATAGTATGGGGATGTGTTTCACTCAATAGCAAACTTGACTGGATCACTGTGTAGGGTAAACTGAACGGACCTCGATATCAACATGACATACTGTAGACGGCAGTTATCTCCCGTTTTGACAATCAAGCGTTGGCCACAAGACCTGTCGTGATGGATCACAGGCTGTCAAGTTCGAGGGAGAGATCCACCTGTCTAAAAGTTACGACAACTTCATTCCTTGATCCATGAGCCTTTTGTTACAAAAAGTGGTGAACACAGATACAGTTACGTATCTATATTCAGTGGCTCAGGACAATTTGTCAAAAATGAAAGAAAATGACATCTGAAGTTTACTATATGTGAAAACAATATGTGAAATACTTCCTCATTGAAAACATTTATGTAACATGTAGATGTAAGACATTTAGGCAACAGGTAGGCATATCCATGGGCACCAATTCTGCTCCCCGTTATGGATCTGTTTCTTCATGCATGTGAATCGGAATTTCTGCTCGAATTGCCAATGCCAAAACAAGGTAATTTGTCCAGCTTCATATATATCGGTGATCTGATATCTTTCAATAACCATCAAAAAGCCAACTCCCTTTCACTGATCTGAACTAGAAATAAAGGAGACCAGTGAGACCGCCTCATCTGTTGCGTAAGGATTAGTAAGTGAGTGAGTTCAGATTTATAGTCACGTCGGCAATATTTCAGCCATATCGTGGCTTAATCAAGTTGTACAGTAATAATACATAAATATAGACTATAAAATCTGTCGTCAATGGACAGTAAAAGAACTAAAGTATCATAGCTATAAATAAAAAAAACTAGTAAGTAACTATGTAATTTTGACTAATCAGTACAATACATTATAAAGGTTGGCTAGATATCACCAACAACCAAAGTTAAGCCATCATACAAGGGACCACGGGGACTTACGGTACGGTACATCTGCTTCCTGCGTGGTACCCAAGCAGGATTTACGCCATCCCTCTGGCTACTGGTGATTGTTAGAAAGTTTAAGCGAAAGCATTTAAAAACAAACAAGTATTCTGCGATTAAAACCATGGAAAATGAAAAATACTTTGAATGAAATAGGACTTATGTACCCTCTCAGGGGGACAATTATTTTACGTTACTTCAACCCCCTTTGAAGGTACAGCCACAAACAATCACAGTTATAAAATCATTTTACCAAATTAAAATCACATATTTTTTACAATACATTTGATTAAAATTTATATATTAATTCAATTTCTTTTAAAAAAACAATAATTGAATGAGTACTTACATTAAAAAGATCCGTCATAGATGAAACCTGGAAATAATTATCCCTTGTGATGGAAAAATCGATACAGTCAAGCAGGACATGCTTGACTGTGATTCTTTCATCACAAGGGATACAGAATGGAGGATCCTCACCTTTGAACAAATATTCATGAGTATAACAAGAATGGCCAATACGACATCGTCTTAATACGACTTCTTCAAATCTGGACTGACAACCAAAGTAGGTATAACCAATATTTGCTTTTATTGTATGTAATTTATTAATATCCACTTGAGTGTCCAACTTCTTCTGCATATTAGGTCTTTGATATACATGTAGCATCTAATAACAGGTTTAAAGTCACTGTATGGTAGAAGAAGTGGTGCCACAGATTTGTTGAGAGCTGCCTTTGCTGCAGCATCAGCCATAGTGTTACCCGTGATTCCAACATGACTGGGCAACCAGCAAAAGACGATGTCGTATTGGCCAGTAGCAAGGCCATTATATAATTCTAAAGTATCTAAAATGAACGGATGATGTGAAAAGATAGATTTGATTGTCTGTATACACGATAATAAATCTGAAAAGATGATGAACCGTTTACTTTTGTAAATTGCTCTTACAGGCTCCACCATAAACGATGGAGCCATAATCTAATTAAGGGAATCAGAGACCTATACAAGTGGTGGAGGGTTGTCTGATCACCTCCCCACTTTGTATTAGCAACTACTTTCAACAAATCTAGAGCCTTCAGACACTTAGTTTTAAGATAATTAATATGTGGCTTAAAAGTCAAAGGGTGATCGAAAATGAGACCCAGGAACTTGGGTTCTTCAACAGCCTTGATAGGAGTGGCATGTAAAAATAGATCTGGATCTTTATGATGCTTGTATTTCCTACAGAAATGAATACAATTGGTCTCAGCTTTGGAAAACCTAAAACCATTTTCAAGACACCATTTTTCGATTTTGTTGAGTCAAGGCTGCAACTGTCTCTCGATGGTATGCATATTTTTTCCATGACGCGAAAAATAAAAAAAATCGTCCACAAAAAGGGAACCATCAATTGAATCATGTAAAACCTTTGACAGACTATCAATCTTTATACTTAACAGAGTTACAGACAAAATACTGCCTTGTGGGACTCCCTGATCCTAATTATGATGGTCAGACAGGGTGGAACCCACACGAACCTGTTAAAAATTGGGATATAAATTGAGGCCTCTTAACCGAAAATTATCATTAGGATTAAGAGTGACACAATTCTCTCCACTGTATGACAAGAGGAATGACCTCAACCTTCCCTTCATGTCGAGCAATATTCCAGCAGCTCCTGCCTTTGGTGTTCACATTTCACAACTTTTGAGATAAAATCGAGCATGCTTTTTCTTCCAAGATTTCAGCGTCATACAACTCTTGCTCAGAAGTTGTTTGATCAAGGTTACATCATTCAAAGCCTCACTAAAGCTTTCAAAACGTTAGAAGACATTTCCAAAATAGACGCATCAGTGACAAAAATGATGTCCGATGCAATTCCCTACTTTGACATACACCATATGTTCCCTTGTTTTTTCAGGTGAACAATTGACTTGCCTTTGCATGTGTTTGTGACGGGTGCCACCTGTGGGGCAGGACAGGTACACCTATTCGTGAACACCTGGTATCATCACTATTTGATAGTGATTCATAAACACATACTTATGATATAGTCGGAAACGTACAATCGACTCTGCTTCAAGCATAGATTTCTTATGACTACGGAAAGGGGTTGCTGCATCTACTAACATTGGTTTAGGATTCAGTTGAAACAGTCTAGTTTGAAGCAGTTCAGTACTTATTGTGCGGCAATAGTAATTTCACTTTGGTGAATATAACATTTTTCTTTAAAATGTCAACAATTCAGAGTACATGTCATTGTTCCAATTAAAACCCTTGTTTTCTTCATTCTGGATGACTCTGGCAAGCAATACACATCATTAGATATTGTTATCTCGAACGCATTTTGCACTAGGCTGCAAGGACATTGACTGATTCCTGGAAATATGAGGGGTGCTTACTTAATTTCAGGGTGTGTACATACACGAAGATCGATATGTAATATTAGATATATGCGCAAATGGACAGCAAAGCCGCATATTTGCAATGGTAAGTGGTATTTCCAAATTGAAATGAAGAAATAAATTCAGAAATCGGTTCCTACGGAAGAGTATATCCTACTTACTAAAGTGAACACTTCGTCTGTCATAATACGTTTTCGGTGTGGTATGATTTTTAGAGTGGTTCTGACGGTCAATATCAGTGACAAGTATTTCAAAACATTCCAAAAGGGCTGTCGAGCATATACACGAAAACAGGACCCGTGAAGATTCGGGGTAGAATAGGTCTTCAACAACCCATGCTTGCCGTAAAAGGCGACTTTGCTTTTCGAAAGAGGCGACTGTCGGGATCGGGTGGTCAGGCTCGCTGACTTGGTTGAACATGTCATCGATCCAAATTGCGTGGATCGATGATTAAGATATCAATCACTGGATTGTCTGGTCCAGATTCGATTATTTACAGACCGCCGTAATATAGCTGGAATATTGCTGAGTGCGGCGTAAAACGAGAAACCAACCTTCCTTGAATTCAATATACCACTCATCGAAATAACCGTCCATGACGAATGACCTTCACTGTGACCTTGATCTAGTACTAAGGTCTCTCAAGATCTCGTCCCCGTTTTGTATATTGTTGGTAGTTCTTATGATTGCTCATTGCAGACAGTTACAAACATACAAACATTCAGCCACACTTACAATACGTATGCGTCACATACTCTTTTAATACCGATATTTATATATTTATGCACTAAACCACGTGCCTGTTAATTATGTTGCATTCTGAAGCATACCAGCTGTCAGTCAAACCTCACTAAATTTCATGACAACGATTCAGTAAAAGCACATATAACAGAACGTTCACGTTTCACTTTCTACAATACACAAGAGACACATACTCTTTTAATGCAGATATTTATGTATTTATGTCACTTAACCACTTGCATGGTAATTATACTGCATTCCGATGCACGCCAGCCGTCAGTCAAGCCGCACAGGAAGGAGAACGTTCAAGTGTCGCTGGTTCCCATTTATTTATTGTGTTGTCTTTCCTGCAAACCGACTGATATGGCTCAGCACGATATTCGACGAGCGATGAGATCTGACTTTGATGCCATTATGGGGATCGGAGAGGTGAACAACGGCAGGGACTATCTCCGTTACAGTTATGAGAGCTTTATAGACGACCCCAACAACAGGTCATACGTCTACATGGTCGGCGGTGATGTGGTAGGTTCCCAGAACACATTCTGCTAAAAGATTTTATATATTAACTAATAAGTCAATGTTAACAATTTTCAGTATTGCTTGGCAACCACCAGTAGCCAGAGGACGTTTTGTGGAACGCTGTAAACCGACACTACGTTGTGATTTACCAAAATGGTAAATTGACCTTCACTTTCCTGGAGTTCATAAGAGTACACATGTTCATAGAGCATAAACAAGTCGCTATATTGAAGAGTCAATGCCGATGTTACGTTATTTTTATTACTTGCTCATAAGCAAAACGTTGTTAATCAGTGAATCTATTTTTGTGTAAATATGTTGATTTTGAGGTGATAGACATGCTACATTACGATCATAGGACCGTGGCCTGTAAATAATCGGGTCTCAGCTATTGGTTTTTCCCGGTAAAAGGTTCATTTGTTGACAACACATTGGAACATTCTTTATAAAACTTCCCATCTCATAGATTGGCTTCTCTGCAACCTTTCTCATTGATGGAGGACTGAGTTTGCTGTCTCGTGGCGGTAGGGTGAAGGCCTCTGTCCAAGGTCAAGGCATATTTCGAACATTGAAGAAATATGTACGTCAGCAGTATCAAAGTATAGAATCCGTCAAATACGAAGTTCTGACTACAAACAACGTTAACGTTAGTGCAAGACCAAGTCTAAGAGAATCTTTTTCTGAGCTGTCTTACAAGGTGAGATTTATGTATTACGTCTTGGTTTTAGTAATTGCGATGCAGTATTTTTTAAATGATACAATATGTATCCCTGATTAATGGGAGAACTGAAACAACATTCATATAAATGAAGCATTATGAGTGAGTGAGTGAGTGAGTTTGGTTTTACGCCGCTTTTAGCAATATTCCATCAATATCACGGCGGGGGACACCAGAAATGGGCTTCACACATTGTACCCATGTCGGGAATCGAACCCGGGTCTTCGGCGTGACGAGCGAACGCTTTAACCACTAGGCTACCCGACCGCCCCTGAAGCATTATGAAGACACTTAAGGTACAATTGTTCGATTTAATTGAGTAAATTCCACATTTTGCATTACATTAAAATTGTCACCAATTAGACCGACCAAACACCTGGAGGATTTCCTGGTTAAAATTAGTCTTCAGGAACCTGCTCGTAAAAGGTAAACAAATGGATCCGGTCTTCAGGCTCAGTGACATGTTTGCGATGTTTGTGTGATATCATGCCCTGATTGATGCTCACATTCCGATCAGTGGATTCTCTAGTCCAGATTGTTTTCAGACTGCAGTCATATATCTCACATATTGTTTCCGGCGTTATGTAACAAACTAACAAATTGTCACACAATGTACAATCCATACTTAATTACAGAATCTGATCTACTACACCACAAGCCTGTCTGAGGTGGCAAGGTTACCGAAACCGACATCGTTTCCGATAATAAAGGAAATGACAAAATATGACATGGCAACACTATTCTCCTCCCAACTGTCATGCAGTAAATTGTTTCCCGATGGAAAAGTCACGGTAGATTGGGTGCCACTTCGACCGATAACCTCAAACACGAAGTACATATTTCAGGAAGACTCTATGATTCTTGCGTCTACCAATGGCGAAAATGGTGATGTGTCCTTGTTGACCATTGGAACTCCCCAAACAGTAGATGCAGGTCGCATGTACCATATTGACATATTTGGCAGTGACGTCACATCATTACGTTATCATGTCTTAAGTCATCTTCATCACACGATGACGTTCAGCCAAGATGACGTTCTTGTAAGCTTGGCATCCGAGGAAAAAACGACCTCCTTATGTCGGGATATTATGAAAACTCTTTGTATTCATGAATACCAGTGCAGTAGTAAGAAAATGTATGTTTTTGAAAGAGACTTTGTTCATGTTAAATAAAGTAGCATACACTGATTTCACTTGTACATCTGAGGAGAAAACGACACCCTTTAGTCAGGATATTATGAAAACTCTTAGTATTCATGGACAAAATGCAGTAGTAGGACCATGTTTATTTTAGAAAAAAACAGAATACACTGATTTCATCTATTTGCTCTAAACGGATATGAATTACGATTTGGAAAAGGGATCAATGGCTCAGTAAAGAAAGTGTGGAACTCGATGCCTGGAAATATTCTTGACTAGTGTGTGTGAAACCTTTTTGATTTTTTTGTGTGAAATTGATCTTGTGAAGTTTTGCCAGAACTTCTTTTCGCGTTTCCCCGAACGCCCCATGGGTGTTTCCGATCAACTCGTTTTTCTATTTTCTTTTTAATCCCTGCATTTATTAGCATGAAAATCAATTAAGTATTTTTTGCCTGGTCTTGTAACATTTTATCTGACTTAAAATTAAATAAATGCTTTGGTTCTGGTGTTTGATGTCATCTGCTACATGAAACAAAATGGATTGTCCTTATGGTGATGTGGATTTGGAATGTCTATCTATGAATACTAGTAACGCAAGTGAAGAAATTTAATTCTGCCAAATTAGTGAGTTGAACGAAATTGATTTATTGATCGATGTTAACATTGATGCCTTGTTTTCGGAAATGACAGGAATCTAGCACCAAGACAATTGGGAATGACAACAATGTTGTTCCCTGCTTACATGTGGCTGCCGACTGGTCATGATCAATCCCAAACTAAATCTCGATTCACAATTATGTCGGGGAAAAAACCCTCTAAGATTAGAGAAACCAAGACACAGCAAATCTACAATGAAAAACACTAAATGGGCTCTGAAAATGTTCAATGGCAAGTCACATAAAATTAATCTAGCTTTTAAATAAATAAGGCATTAAAATGTAAGGAACGAAACTTAAATTAAAAACAACAACAAACTTGCCTCCTTGTTTTACCGATTGGTCATCGGAGACGAGGCAAATATCCGTAGACTGGAATCTACGGTATTCTAGGCCGAGAAGCAGCGGCACATGAGGAGGGACAGGGCATGGAAATGAAGATAGGATTAGATCATACAGCTAAGCAAATTATTCCAGAACAAACAAATCCCAAACTCCAAATGTAACACACCCTCACGTTGAAACACAAAACACACACGTTTCAGAGCACTCCGTTCAATCCAGCAATTCCATTCCAACTTGGTTTGCGATTATCCAAACACAAGCAACACCTTCACAAATCAGTCATATTCCTAATTTGCTAATGTTTATGCCTCGGGTGTTTTCCATACCTGTTCCATAAACGTCATTTTAAACAGCAATAAGTATCAATTTCATCCTCATTCTCCCGTTCCACGAGATATGTACCTCTTTACAAACTTATGGTACGTAAGTTCCACATCATTCAAAGTAAATTTAGTCCTACCACGATTTTAATTGATGGCTAAACTTGCATACAATCGCCAGCGGCTGAAGGGATGTTGTAAATCCTCCTGGGGTCCATGTAGGTAGCAAAGGTACTATAAGTCCCCATGGTTCCTAGTATGATGATCTACCATCAATTGCTAGTGATCTGTAGCCCGTTCTTACAATGTATTGTTATGTTTTCTAATAACTTTTTATGGTCACATACTAGTTTTAAAAATAGATATGTGATAAGTCTAGTAATATTACTGTCCTTTGCTGACAGGTTTTTTATATAACCTAAATTGATGTTTACTTAAAGCTCTCAACGCTACTGTCGAAAAAGGTCGACAGACTGTGTCACTAGCCGTGTTGCTACTGTCGATATTTTCCTTATAATGTTATCAGTTTTCACATTCGATCATAATATATTGTTTGCTGACGAAAGGAAAACACTGAATTTCCTTAATTTAAAAAAAATAGCAAATTTCGATGTTTTTGATTATAAACAAAAACAATCTGAATCATATCATCATCGATTGGTTGGAACTTGTACGATCATGGCAACGGCGGTAAACAAGCAACTCAACATGCAAAGTTATCCCGTTAGACTATTACAATCATTTTGTTACATCTAACTTAATTTTCTAGAACTATTGACACACCTGTTTAAATCTTTGTAGAAAAAAAATCATTTTTAAAGAGTTTGCAAATGATTTCGGTTGATAAACTTTCGGACACATTGACAAACCGACAAACGTCATCGTGGCCTAACTCGCGAGTTGAACAAAGTCAACAAACACAGCGAAAAATGACAAATATTGAATGATAGGCAAAATCTGAATTGATATACATTCTAGGTAAACCATTCAATATTTAAATAGTGCAGTTTACAAGAAATAATCAAAATACTTGCAATTTTAGCTATCATTTCTGAAACCGGAAGCACGTACCACATGTGACACATGAAAGAAAAATATGCCAAAAATTCCGAAATAGATTCAAATTCAAAAGAAAATACATTATTTACTATTTTTCGTCAACTATTTACTATTGATTGATCTGGAGAGCAGTCTTCACTCCTGTTGGTTTCATATTTCTTCGTGATTGTCGCAATCAAATGTGTCAGTCTAAATCCGAAACCGTAATGGATTTCACGCTCGATGATTTTAATTTAATTTTTTTTTTCTCAAAACGAACGCAACGGAGAGCGATATAACGTATTGATGTGCCATAATAATAACAACATAAGGTTGTTATTGGTCTAACATTACAAAGAGAACAATTTAGAATATTAAAGATGTTGTTGAATATTTTTCTGAGAACCTCCCGTCCTCTGAACCGATTAAAATATTGGTACACGACGACTGTATGGAGGTAGTGCAAATATATATAGACTCCTATATGTGATTTTGTACCCAAAACAAATTAAATTGTACCCAAAATACTTTGTGAATTTGTACCTAAGAAAATAAGACAATAGATCTATGCTTATATTTATGTTTTCATGTAGATGAACAGAACACACAATAAAATATTTCATCAAGTTCATAACATGATTATGACTGTGATCGTGGAAATTGATTGTTTAGTTTTGATAGAAACTTGACGTCTTGTCACTGAAGAAGAGACCAGTTAAGTTGGTTAAACCTAAGTTAGAATGTATATTTGTGATAGTATGTTAAGTTTAAGATACTAAAATTAATGTATATATTTGAAATAATTCTAGGTAGATCTACAAAATCACATACTCATTTGGGTACCAAATCCCTAGAATGTTGGGTACAAAAGTCACTAGATCTACTGTACATTTAAACTGGTTTTTGTGAATCAATGGGATAAAAAAGAATTTTCGTCTGAATGATTCCTTTTCTCATTTCAAAACAAGAATTTGTTTTACGTAACAAAACAGGCAGACCTACACGTCATACATCTTGTCCTAAAATATATAAAAATGTGAAAAATATGGACACCTCAGAAATGAGGGCTTTTAAAGTTATAATTCTACCTACCTTGTCACATGGTTTGACTTAGGTCTATCTAAGAAAAGTCCTTAGGAATTTTTTTAAATTTGTTTTTATGACACTGACAATTTCTGGCACTTAGACAAAGAGTATTCAAGGAAAGACAGATATGTTTTTAATTGTAAATATGACTTTCCTTTATAATTCTTGTTTCATGATGACAGGGGAACTTTTACTCACACCAGCTGAGGAAGTTGTGATAATTTGATTGAATACAAAGGATAAACAGGTTTGCAGCAGTACCTGTATATGCAAAATAGACCACATGAGGAGAATTATGGGGCGTGGCTGACCAGAAAAAATACATCTGGCAAGGGTAAACATGTATACAGGCACAATTCCTTTCACTCCAACCAGAAGACTGAGATAGCATTTTCTTAGATACATATGGCTTACTCACCAGCTTATGTGCCACCATGGTTCTTGTGATTAAACAAACAACAATTTCATGTACTGTTACAAATAAGTAATATATCATATTCCTATTACAAATATATTTTAGAATTGTTTTATTTGGAAACAAACCACTTGATGCACAAGATGACTGCCATATGAGTTTAGTGTGTATATGTTAAGGATCTGATCAATTTATTCATTATTTATGGAAAACTAAAATTAAATGACATCAAATAGTTACTTATTCACATAATTGATGTTCAGAGAATTAAAGATAATAATTGTAGAATAAAATATCTTAAAACTAAAGATAACAATTGAAGTTTGATCAGTAACACTGTGCTGACGCATTGACCAATAATCATGCTAGAATCTATGAATGTATTATGAAAGGAAAACTATCACAAATGTAATGTGGAACTTACACCGAAAATATGTATGTAGCATTTTATTGCTTATATTTTTCCTATCATATTCAACAATGCAGGAATGTACTTTTGAAACACGTTTTGTCAAGCCCATTTTCGCGCACCTGCTGATCGACGATATATACATGTATAGACGTATTGCGTGGGATACACTTATAATAGTGAAACTTATCAGCGTGTACATCGCAGAAATATGAATCATGTCCATTTATATTCAACGTAACATTGAATGGCGATTCTTAAATATCAACAAAAGTTCAAATAAAAGATACCGAGAAACTTGCAAGTGACATGTTGATTGATCGTCTACCGTTTCTGGGTGACGGGAGCATGCAAGGCCAAACAAATTAAATAATACGCCAATTATATCGTCAAAGTCACATTTATATTTCATATTAGTGGTGATTACTGATACTATGTATTGACTTATGTTTTTGCTGTATGTGATTTACTGTAATTGTTTTGGTACTAAAAATTATCAGGAGACAATCCCTGTCTGTGACATCCCATCCGGTGACATTTGCACTTACTGAAATATTGCTATCTGAATTCACGATCTTTATTTCGTTTTTCTCTCGTCATATTAATTGGAAAATGACAAATAAAACATCCTTCGATTGAGAAGATCGTCAACTTTCGCCAAGGCATATTTATTAAGGCAATGTAAACTTTGTTGATATTGAAATAGCAAAACGTTATTCAGAGGTCGGGCGAAGCGCGCCATGTTAGATTTTAGGACGTCTGCTAGCATCATGACACGGGTTGTTTATTTTTGTATATCGTAAATATTCAACCAAAACGATTGAAATTAGGATTAATGAATATTTATAAGTCATTAATTGTTTCCTGCAAATTTTATAACATGGCACGTCAGATTAACCCGAATGATCGTATTTCTGCAACCGACATGATGACCTCGAAAATTAAGTTATTTTTCTGTTTAACGTTTAGATAATACTTTTACTGAAATGGTTCATAATTTACCATCGCGCTGTTATTTGCCCATAAAAAAACGAACTTTTACTCAATTAAAATCACGATAATCGGAGATATGATTATTGAAATCATTTGCACAAATGTTACGATATTAAAAGGTTCCAAGCATGAAACGCAAACCACCTTCAATAACGCAATTCAGGTAAGTTCAAGAAAATTTACAAATTTGGGTTCGCTCTGGTCTTAACCTTGCTATGATTGAAAATATTGGGATATTTTTAAATAGTACTGTGTAGTTGTCTATCATGAATAAATGTGCAAAATATTTCTTCAATTGGCCCTTGTTTAATGAGGCACCGACTGTTGGAAATCACCCACCCTCTTTAGAGCGCCTTATGCTAAAATTAATCCAGCAGGCAGGGGTAAGAAGTGTGAAAATAATTCAGCAGGCTAAAGGTTAATGCATAAATTGCTTTAGTGTCGATAGGGCTGAAATATTGCCGAAATGACTATTAATATTGACTCACTCACTACAAACTTATGTGACGTCATATATAAATCCGGGATCGGGTGGTCAGGCTCGCTGACTTGTATGAAGCACGTCATCGATCCCAATTGTGTGGATCGATGATTAAGATATCAATCACTGGATTGTCTGGTCCAGACTCGATTATTTACAGACCGCCGTGATATAGCTGGAATATTGCTGAGTGCGGCGTAAAACAACCAACCAACCAACCAACCTTCCTGGAATTCAATATACCACTCATTGAAATAACCGTCCATGACCTTCACTGTGACCTTGACCTAGTACTTAAGTCTCTCAATATCTCGTCCCCCTTTTGTATATTGTTGGTAGTTCTTTTGATTGCTCATTGCAAACAGTTTTTTTCTGATATAATTTCATTTTTGTCAGTTTGTTTCACGACAGTTTGATAAAAAAGAGATTTGGATATTCTTTTACACTTACAATACGTATGAGTCACATACTCTTTTCATACCTGTATTTATATGGTTATGCACTAAACCACCTGCTTGTTAATTATGTTGCATTCTGAAGCATACCAGCTGTCAGTCAGACCTCACTAACTGCACGAAACAGAGCAAGTAACGATTCAGTAAAAGCTACAGCAGAACGTTCACGTTTCACTTCTTCCCATAATATTGTGTTGTCTTTTCTGCAAACCGACTGATATGGCTCAGCACGATATTCGACGAGCGACCAGATCTGACTTTAATGCCGTCATGGGGATCGGAGAGGTGTACAACGGCAAGGACTACCTCCGTTACCGCTATAACAGGTTTTTAGACGACCCCAACAACAGGTCATACGTCTACATGGTCGGCCGTGATGTGGTAGGTTCCCAGAACACAGTCAGCTAAACGATTTTATATATTCACTGATATTTTATTCAGTCAAAATATAAACAATTTTTAGTATTGCTTGTAGGACGTTTTGTGGAACGCTGTAAAGTGACGTTGTGATTTACCAAAATAGTAAATTGACCTTCACTTTCCTGGAGTTCATAAGAGTACACATATTCAAAGAGCATAAACAAGTCGCTATATTGAAGAGTCAATGCTGATGTTACGTTATTTTTATTACTTGTTCATATGCAAAACGTTGTTAATCTGTGAATCTATTATTGTGTAAATATGTTGATTTTGAGGAGATAGATATGCTGCATTACGATCATAGTACGGTGGCCTGTAAATAATCGGGTCTCAGCTATTGGTATTTCCAGGTAAAAGTTTCCTTATTAGACAACCCATTGGAACATTCTTTATAAAACTTCCCATCTCACAGATTGGCTTCTCTGCAACCTTTCTCATTGATGGAGGACTGAGTTTGCTGTCTCGTGGCGGTAGGGTGAAGGCCTCTTTCCGAGGTCAGACATTTTTCGAACATTGAAGACATATATACGTCAGCAGTATCAAAGTATAGAATCCGTCACATACGAAGTTCTGACTACAAACAACGTTAACGTTAGTGCAAGACCAAGTCTAAGAGAATCTTTTACTGAGCTGTATTACAAGTCGAGATTTGTGTATTACGTCTTGCTTTTAGTGTTTGCCATGTAGTATTTTCTAAATGATACGAACAGTATCCCTGATAAATGGGAGAACTGAAACAACATTCAGATATATGAAGCATTATGAAGAAACTTAAGGTACACTTGTTTGATTTAAATGAGTAAATTCCACATTTTGCATTTATATTAAAATTGTCGGACCCCACACCTGGAGGATTTCCATGTTAAAATTAGTCTTCAGAAACATGTTCGTAAAAGTTAAACAAATGGATCAGGTCTTCAGTCTCAGTGACATGTTTGCGATGTTTGTGTGATATCATGCCCTGATTGATGCTGACATTCCGATCAGTGGATTGTCTAGTCCAGATTGTTTTCAGACTGCAATCATAGCAGTCATATATCTCACATATTGTTTCCGGCGTTATGTAACAAACTAACAAATTGTCACTCAATGTACAATCCCTACTTTAATTACAGAATCTGATCTACTACACGAGCAGCCTGTCTGAGGTGGCAAGGTTACCGAAACCGACATCGTTTCCGATAATAAAGGAAATGACAAAATATGACATGGCAACACTATTCTCCTCCCAACTGTCATGCAGTAAATTGTTTCCCGATGGAAAAGTCACGGTAGATTTGGTGCCACTTCGACCGATGACCTCAAACACGAAGTACATATTTCAGGAAGACTCTCTGATTCTTGCGTCTACCAATGGCGAAAATGGTGATGTGTCCTTGTTGACCATTGGAATTCCCAAAACAGTAGATGCAGGTCGCATGTACCATATTGACATATTTGGCAGTGACGTCACATCATTACGTTATCATGTCTTAAGTCATCTTCATCACACGATGACGTTCAGCCAAGATGACGTTCTTGTAAGCTTGGCATCCGAGGAAAAAACGACCTCCTTATGTCGGGATATTATGAAAACTCTTTGTATTCATGAATACCAGTGCAGTAGTAAGAAAATGTATGTTTTTGAAAGAGACTTTGTTCATGTTAAATAAAGTAGCATACACTGATTTCACTTGTACATCTGAGGAGAAAACGACACCCTTTAGTCAGGATATTATGAAAACTCTTAGTATTCATGGACAAAATGCAGTAGTAGGACCATGTTTATTTTAGAAAAAAACAGAATACACTGATTTCATCTATTTGCTCTAAACGGATATGAATTACGATTTGGAAAAGGGATCAATGGCTCAGTAAAGAAAGTGTGGAACTCGATGCCTGGAAATATTCTTGACTAGTGTGTGTGAAACCTTTTTGATTTTTTTGTGTGAAATTGATCTTGTGAAGTTTTGCCAGAACTTCTTTTCGCGTTTCCCCGAACGCCCCATGGGTGTTTCCGATCAACTCGTTTTTCTATTTTCTTTTTAATCCCTGCATTTATTAGCATGAAAATCAATTAAGTATTTTTTGCCTGGTCTTGTAACATTTTATCTGACTTAAAATTAAATAAATGCTTTGGTTCTGGTGTTTGATGTCATCTGCTACATGAAACAAAATGGATTGTCCTTATGGTGATGTGGATTTGGAATGTCTATCTATGAATACTAGTAACGCAAGTGAAGAAATTTAATTCTGCCAAATTAGTGAGTTGAACGAAATTGATTTATTGATCGATGTTAACATTGATGCCTTGTTTTCGGAAATGACAGGAATCTAGCACCAAGACAATTGGGAATGACAACAATGTTGTTCCCTGCTTACATGTGGCTGCCGACTGGTCATGATCAATCCCAAACTAAAACTCGATTCACAATTATGTCGGGGAAAAAACCCTCTAAGATTGGAGAAACCAAGACACAGCAAATCTACAATGAAAAACACTAAATGGGCTCTGAAAATGTTCAATGGCAAGTCACATAAAAATAATCTAGCTTTTAAATAAATAAGGCATTAAAATGTAAGGAACGAAACTTAAATTAAAAACAACAACAAACTTGCCTCCTTGTTTTACCGATTGGTCATCGGAGACGAGGCAAATATCCGTAGACTGGAATCTACGGTATTCTAGGCCGAGAAGCAGCGGCACATGAGGAGGGACAGGGCATGGAAATGAAGATAGGATTAGATCATACAGCTAAGCAAATTATTCCAGTACAAACAAATCACAAACTCCAAATATAACACACCCTCACGTTGAAACAGAAAACACACACGTTTCAGAGCACTCCGTTCAATCCAGCCATTCCATTCCAACTTGGTTTGCGATTATCCAAACACAAGCAACACCTTCACAAATCAGTCATATTCCTAATTTGCTAAGGTTTATGCCTCGGGTGTTTTCTATACCTGTTCCATAAACGTCATTTTAAACAGCAATAAGTATCAATTTCATCCTCATACTCCCGTTCCACGAGATATGTACCTCTTTACAAACTTATGGTACGTAAGTTCCACATCATTCAAAGTAAATTTAGTCCTACCACGATTTTAATTGATGGCTAAACTTGCATACAATCGCCAGCGGCTGAAGGGATGTTGTAAATCCTCCTGGGGTCCATTTAGGTAGCAAAGGTACTATAAGTCCCAATGGTTCCTAGTATGGTGATCTACCATCAATTGCTAGTGATCTGTAGCCCGTTCTTACAATGTATTGTTATGTTTTCTAATAACTTTTTATGGTCAAATACTAGTTTTAAAAAGAGATATGTGATAAGTTTAGTAATATTACTGTCCTTTGCTGACAGGTTTTTTATATAACCTAAATTGATGTTTACTTAAAGCTCTCAACGCTACTGTCGAAAAAGGTCGACAGACTGTGTCACTAGCCGTGTTGCTACTGTCGATATTTTCCTTATAATGTTATCAGTTTTCACATTCGATCATAATATATTGTTTGCTGACGAAAGGAAAACACTGAATTTCCTTAATTTAAAAAAAATAGCAAATTTCGATGTTTTTGATTATAAACAAAAACAATCTGAATCATTACATCATCGATTGGTTGGAACTTGTACGATCATGGCAACGGCGGTAAACAAGCAACTCAACATGCAAAGTTATCCCGTTAGACTATTACAATCATTTTGTTACATCTAACTTAATTTTCTAGAACTATTGACACACATGTTTAAATCTTTGTAGAGAAAAAAATTATTTTTAAAGAGTTTGCAAATGATTTCGGTTGATAAACTTTCGGACACATTGACAAACCGACAAACGTCATCGTGGCCTAACTCGCGAGTTGAACAAAGTCAACAAACACAGCGAAAAATGACAAATATTGAATGATAGGCAAAATCTGAATTGATATACATTCTAGGTAAACCATTCAATAGCTAAATAGAGCAGTTTACAAGAAATAATCAAAATACTTGCAATTTTAGCTATCATTTCTGAAACTGGAAGCACGTACCGCATGTGACACATGAAAGAAAAATATGCCAAAAATTCCGAAATAGATTCAAATTAAAAAAAAAATACATTATTTACTATTTTTCGTCAACTATTTACTATTGATTGATCTGGAGAGCAGTCTTCACTCCTGTTGGTTTCATATTTCTTTGTGATTGTCGCAATCCAATGTGTCAGTCTAAATCCGAAACCGTAATGGATTTCACGCTCGATGATTTTAATTTAATTTTTATTTCTCAAAACGAACGCAACGGAGAGCGATATAACGTATTGATGTGCCATAATAATAACAACATAAGGTTGTTATTGGTCTAACATTACAAAGAGAACAATTTAGAATATTAAAGATGTTGTCCTCTGAACCGATTAAAATATTGGTACACGACGACTGTATGGAGGTAGTGCAAATATATATAGACTCCTATATGTGATTTTGTACCCAAAACAAATTAAATTGTACCCAAAATACTTTGTGAGTTTGTACCTAAGAAAATAAGACAATAGATCTATACTTATATTTATGTTTTCATGTAGATGAACAGAACACACAAAAAAAATTTCATCAAGTTCATAACATGATTATGACTGTGATCGTGGAAATTGATTGTTTAGTTTTGATAGAAACTTGACGTCTTGTCACTGAAGAAGAGACCAGTTAAGTTGGTTAAACCTAAGTTAGAATGTATATTTGTGATAGTATGTTAAGTTTAAGACACCAAAATTAATGTATATATTTGAAATAATTCTAGGTAGATCTACAAAATCACATACTCATTTGGGTACCAAATCCCTAGAATTTTGGGTACAAAAGTCACTAGATCTACTGTACATTTAAACTGGTTTTCGTGAATCAATGGGATAAAAAAGAATTTTCGTCTGAATGATTCCTTTTCTCATTTCAAAACAAGAATTTGTTTTACGTAACAAAACAGGCAGACCTACACGTCACACATCTTGTCCTAAAATATATAAAAATGTGAAAAATATGGACACCTCAGAAATGAGGGCTTTTAAAGTTATAATTCTACCTACCTTGTCACATGGTTTGACTTAGGTCTATCTAAGAAAAGTCCTTAGGAATTTTTTTAAATTTGTTTTTATGACACTGACAATTTCTGGCACTTAGACAAAGAGTATTCAAGGAAAGACAGATATGTTTTTAATTGTAAATATGACTTTCCTTTATAATTCTTGTTTCATGATGACAGGGGAACTTTTACTCACACCAGCTGAGGAAGTTGTGATAATTTGATTGAATACAAAGGATAAACAGGTTTGCAGCAGTACCTGTATATGCAAAATAGACCACATGAGGAGAATTATGGGGCGTGGCTGACCAGAAAAAATACATCTGGCAAGGGTAAACATGTATACAGGCCAACCAGAAGACTGAGATAGCATTTTCTTAGATACATATGGCTTACTCACCAGCTTATGTGCCACCATGGTTCTTGTGATTAAACAAACAACAATTTCATGTACTGTTACAAATAAGTAATGTATCATATTCCTATTACAAATATATTTTAGAATTGTTTTATTTGGAAACAAACCACTTGATGCACAAGATGAATGTCCATATGAGTTTAGTGTGTATATGTTAAGGATCTGATCAATTTATTCATTATTTATGGAAAACTAAAATTAAATGACATCAAATAGTTACTTATTCACATAATTGATGTTCAGAGAATTAAAGATAATAATTGTAGAATAAAATATCTTAAAACTAAAGATAACAATTGAAGTTTGATCAGTAACACTGTGCTGACGCATTGACCAATAATCATGCTAGAATCTATGAATGTATTATGAAAGGAAAACTGTCACAAATGTAATGTGGAACTTACACCGAAAATATGTATGAAGCATTTTATTGCTTATATATATCCTATCATATTCAACAATGCAGGAATGTACTTTTGAAACACGTTTTGTCAAGCCCATTTTCGCGCACCTGCTGATCGACGATATATATAGACGTATTGCGTGGGATACACTTATAATAGTGAAACTTATCAGCGTGTACATCGCAGAAATATGAATCATGTCCATTTATATTCAACGTAACATTGAATGGCGATTCTTAAATATCAACAAAAGTTCAAATAAAAGATACCAAGAAACTTGCAAGTGGCATGTTGATTGATCGTCTACCGTTTCCGGGTGACGGGAGCATGCAAGGTCAAACAAATACAATAATACGCCAATTATATCGTCAAAGTCACATTTATATTTCATATTAGTGGTGATTACTGATACTATGTATTGACTTATGTTTTTGCTGTATGTGATTTACTGTAATTGTTTTGGTACTAAAAATTATCAGGAGACAATCCCTGTCTGTGACATCCCATCCGGTGACATTTGCACTTACTGAAATATTGCTATCTGAATTCACGATCTTATTTTCGATTTTCTCTCGTCATATTAATTGGAAAATGACAAATAAAACATCCTTCGATTGAGAAGATCGTCAACTTTCGCCAAGGCATATTTATTAAGGCAATGTAAACTTTGTTGATATTGAAATAGCAAAACGTTATTTAGAGGTCGGGCGAAGCGCGCCATGTTAGATTTTAGGACGTCTGCTAGCATCATGACACGGGTTGTTTATTTTTGTATATCGTAAATATTCAACCAAAACGATTGAAATTAGGATTAATGAATATTTATAAGTCATTAATTGTTTCCTGCAAATTTTATAACATGGCACGTCAGATTAACCCGAATGATCGTATTTCTGCAACCGACATGATGACCTCGAAAATTAAGTTATTTTTCTGTTTAACGTTTAGATAATACTTTTACTGAAATGGTTCATAATTTACCATCGCGCTGTTATTTGCCCATAAAAAAACGAACTTTTACTCAATTAAAATCACGATATCGGAGATATGATTATTGAAATCATTTGCACAAATGTTACGATATTAAAAGGTTCCAAGCATGAAACGCAAACCACCTTCAATAACGCAATTAAGGTAAGTTCAAGAAAATTTACAAATTTGGGTTCGCTCTGGTCTTAACCTTGCTATGATTGAAAATATTGGGATATTTTTAAATAGTACTGTGTAGTTGTCTATCATGAATAAATGTGCAAAATAT